ATACTCCTGCTATGAGTGAAATCATCCGGTATTTTTCTTTCTCTTTCTGGCTTATCTCACTAAGCATGATCTTTTCCAGCTCCATCCAAGTTGCTGCTCTTTTTTGGTTGCTAGCATCAGCCTTCTTGACTGCACATTTCTTCTCTATGTAGCTAACTTCTCAGTTTTTCCACTACCATCTTGCATGATGGGAAAGAGAACTCGAGTCTCTGAGTCTCTTTTCCTGTTCCTGTTCTGGCTCCACTCGAAGTCTTAACATCACAGAAGACAGAATGTCACTAGCATCTGGGCAGTGCAGTGCTCACAGAGCTCAGTAAACGTGTAGGGAAATGAAGATTGTTCAGGCTTTATTATTATTATTTTTTAAAGATTTATTTATTTATGGGGCGGGAAGTGCACGGGACTATGGTGATGGCACACGGGTGACTCGGTAATGGGAAACCCACGGGGATTACAATTGAGATGAAAAAAAATGTACAAAATGATGTAAAAATAAACTATTATATTGTTTAAAAAATTAAAAAAAATAAAGTACATAAGTATTGAAACCTGTGAGCAAAAACAAACAAAAAAAGATTTATTTATTTATACTTACAGAACTGGGGTACAGGCCAGAGGTGTGGTGGGTGAGAGGATTCACCAGAGACAGAATGGGGAGCAGAACAGGCCCACTGAGAAGTACACTGCTGAGGGGAGCAGCGGGTGGGTCAGGAGAGGTCTGCCTCGCCATGTGGATCACCCCCCAGGCGGGCAGGCGGGGATCAACTCATGCTGAAGTGGCTTTAGCTTCTCAGTGCTGTGCTTTAATTCGCTGCGCCACCAGGGAGGGCCCCCATGTATTCTTTTAACATGGGAGGGTGCTATAAGCCTATACCTTGGTGACTGCCAGTCACATGACCAGGTAGAACAGAGACAGGGCTACAGAACAAGTTCTGAGGAGAGTGACCCAATCAGGGAAAACACAAGCAGGGGCTAGATGTGCATCGAGTGTATCGGCTTTCTCCTCATCAGGCCTAAAAGAACGAGCAGGATCAATCCATTGCTTTTGCCTGCCAGTTCGCGCCGCGCGCTGATTGGTTCTGGTTTAGGAAACGGGCAAAGGGAGTGCACGTGCGGCCGGCGGGGAGAGGCGGCGCGGGCTGCACGTTCTCGCCGAGGCCATGGCGTCGCTCGGTTGTAGCACTGTCGTCTGCGCGGTCTGCTTGGAGAAGCCCAAATACCGCTGCCCGGCCTGCCGCGTGCCCTAGTGAGCGCGGCGGGGGAGGGGCGCGGCCCGGGGTTGGGGGTCGCGGGCCCGGAGGGGCGCGCGGGCGGGAGGGGTGCCGCGCGAGCGTGGGGCTGGCTGACCGGTGTGCTCTGTTGTTGCAGCTGCTCCCTGGCCTGCTTCCGGAAGCACAAAGGTAAGGCCCGGCGTCCCCGCCTCGCGCCCGCGGGCCTCTGGGGGCCCGCGCCCGGGGAGTGACCGCCGGGCTGTGCCTCCAACGCCGGACGACCGAATCCTCCGTCGGTCGGCCTCGCCTTGCGCGGGGCGCCCTCGCTTTTCATCTTTTCAAAACACCAGAACGCTCTCCTGGCTTCTGGTTTTGGCAGGCCGACGCTCGCCACTTGGCAGAAACGGTGCTGATTGGCGTAAGGTCATTTTCTTTCGTTTTAATAATGCCTTACCGGAAAGCGAGAGGCTTATTTACAACAGGTTAAAGCTGTCTCCACTGTCCGGGAGCTGCTTCCTCCCCCTGCGCTTGTTATAAAAGTTCTCACTGTGGTTCGCTACTAGTTTCACCCGCTCCAGCCTCCGGTGGTTTACAGCCGCAGGTCTTTCTCTGCTTGGTCCCTCCTCCCCCCTCTGCATGGTCCCTCCTCCCCAGCCCTCTTCATTTTTTTTTTTTTTTAAAGGTTTATTTCCCTAAGCTTACAAGAACTGGCTACAGGCCAGTGAAAGTGAGAGGATTCACCAGAGGCAGAGTGGGGAGCTCAGCTGTGCCCACCCCTGTGGGCCTCGTGGTGGTGATAGCTTAATGGCCGGATTCTTAACCCTTGCACCGCCAGGGAGCCCCGCCCCCCTTCATTTTGTTTTACTCTGATATATTAAGAGTAAAGGTTTCAAAAGAAACCTTGCCACTTAAAATTGAGAAAAATGTAGACTTGCTTTGCTGAAACTAGGGGCCAGGGAACTGGTTTGGAACACGTCCCTCTTGCACTGTGACCTGGGACACCTGAAGCCGTCTGGGGGTTTTAACTCTCCTGCTGGTTGGGTGGGTTTTTGTTTTGTTTTTTTTTTTAAAGCAAATGTGAGCTACTCCTTCCCTGAAAACTTACCTTTGGGTCACCTAGGTATTCTTTTTGCTTGGGAGATAGGTTGTCACAATACTTTTTGTTTTCAGCCTGGTTGAGGATGGGTTGCTGGTATCTAGTAACTGGTATTGGCTAAAGAAACACCGAGCAGCCCTATGGCACTAAAGGCCTCTTACCGCCACCACAGCACCCTTGCTGAGAGGCCCTGGTCTAGAGGGAAAAGCCTATCTTCTGCGGATGGCCCCTTTTACTCCAGTTCTCTGTCTTAGCCGCTTGCCAGACCTGTCCTGCCAAGCCAGTCAGCAGGTGGTTGCTCCTTCACCATCTCCTTGCACTTGATCTTTTTCTTTTAAGGGTCTGGTGTCCACCAGATCATAGGCCTTTCCCTCTGCCAGGAATACTCTCACCACCTGGGAGCAGCTCAGCCAGGATTCCTCTCAGCCCTCTCAGGTGCTTTAGTTCAGACCACTGCTGTTCTTATGACTAAAGTCCTCTGAGGTGGGCCAGATGTTCTTCACCATCTTTTTACCCTTAAATGTCCCACTGGCTTGACCTGTCACTTCACCTCCAGCCCACTCTACCCGGCCCCCATCCCTCACCTGAAGCCCATGCTTCCCACCTTGACACTGCCTGGAGGTGCCGCCTTGTCACTCAGTGCCCCAGATGTGCTCCTGAGACTTGTGCTTCTTTCAGAGCAGTGCAACCCTGAAACTCGTGCTGCAGAGAGAAGAATAAGACCACCTCTTGCTACAAAAACTAAATCGCCTGTAGAAAACCAAGGTGGGTTGGTTACCTGCAAACAGACCAACAAGACCAGACCAGGAAAGGATTTCCAGTTACATCATTTGGAAGCAAAGAGGAGGCTTGGGTTGTGCAGGGAGTGAGGTGATGGCTTCGTTGGGGAGCTTCCTTAGCTCTGAGCAGCAGGCATGGGGGTCCGTGGTGGGGGAGGGGAGTGAGGTTACAGAGCTGTCCAAGTATCATTCAGGAGAAGAATGAGGGCAGGAGGCAAAGGGGAGAAGGCCCATAGCTGTGGTTTGGGGGTGAGTGGTAGGTCCTGCTGGTACAGCATTCTTCAGGGATGGCTTTGGGTCTCCATTCATGGGCCTGGCTGGGGAGGTGGGGGTGGGTGGGTTGCTATTAGCCTAGGTCACTTTGTTGCTGCTGGGGTCTCCTGGAAGCTTGTAAGGGGGAGTGGTCTATCATCCCAGTCAACCAGCTCTTCATACCTCTTGGGTGTTTTGCCTCACACCATGCTCTGAAAGCAAACCACCCCCCCATGCCACCAAAAAGGTATTGAACATTAACAGGAAGGGATGGTCCATTTCTGCCCTTTGGGAAGCTTTCATGTTGGTTAGTTAACAATCACTGACTGAAAACGGGCTTCTTGCTAGCAGGCTTTTACAGGGCATCTAGTTTTCTGGCCCAGGGCAGTAGCTGGGTGGTAATTATTGGGAAAATCAGTCTCCAAATCCAAAGACCAGAAGCAAGTGTGTATACTAGAATGCATTAGTTGCATTGAAGTCACCAATTTTTCTTTCTTTCCCTTTCCTAAAAGGGGAGTGTTATTATCAGAAGTTCCAAAAAGAGGTTACTTTGTCGCTGCCTCCTTGTATGTCCCTGTTACTGTCTGGTGTGTACACATGCTTTTTAAAATCTGTTAAAGAGTAGTTGTTGAAATCTGGTGCTGAATGGCTCATTAGTCATAAGCGGTGGATTGTGTTCTGTATTCTTTAGATGATGGCGACGACTCAATAGCTGATTTTCTCAATAGCGATGAGGAAGAGGACAGAGTTTCTTTGCAGAATTTAAAGAATTTAGGTAAGTCCTGTGCTTGTTTATTTTCAGCCAACAAGATACGTTTCTTTCTTGTACAGAATGGAGTATTTTAAGTTAGCAAGTACTCCTGTGGATGGAAGTATTTCTTTCAGTTGATCACTGTTTAATCATGTTGATTACCTAGTCCATGTTGTCTATTAATCAACGTATTAAATATTAGTAAGGAGAACTTCTAGCCACAGGGTTCCAACATGGGCTTCCGTTGCTCCCAGTGTGCCCTGTGCCTGGAAGCTGTCTGTGTAGGTTGGCAGGTTTCTGCTCTTAGACTTGGTTCTTTTCCTCAGCTCAGTTTTTCTTAACCTTTGTCTATAAGTCTGTCTCAGACTTAAAATAGGCACTTTGATCAGCTTCCCTCGTACCTTGTAATTTATTGCGGACCACATTTCATGGTAACTTGTCCGCACACCAGCCTGTAGGACAGAGCTTGCATTCACATGGCACGTCCCTGGTGCCTAGTATACCATCCAGCCGTTAGTACAGACCAGGTAATCCCAGGGCTTGGTTTTTTTTTTTAGAGAGGCACTCGGGTGTTAATGCGCAAGATTTCTGCAGGATGCTGTCAGTCCTCATAGCACTTGTTATGTATGTAACTAACGCGTCAGTATAGTCCCTAAAGCTGTTTTCTTTTCATTCTCATCTCAGTCAGGCTGACCGGTGGGGCTTTGCACCTAGTGCCTTGGGAGTGAGAGGGGCTGGGACAGAGTTGGGGATGAACAATTCTGGGAGGTGAACAACTTTCTGTCGGTGTCAGTTCACGCTCCTGCTCCGCAGACCTGCTAACAACGGAAAGCCTTTGTTTGTATTCGTACTGGTAAAATAAATTTTTTTAGTTGAAATGGCATAAGAACAAGAATCTGTAATAGCATTTAACTTGAAATCATTTGATATGCTTATCTCACTGTGATAGTAGGAAGCACGGGGGTTAATTTTGTGGGTTTAAAGGTTAAGGTGACGCAACATCTAGCATATTATGTTTAAAATGTTTCTACCTGAACTCAGATTGGCTTTTTTTGTTCGATTTTCAAGAGGAGTCTGCAGCATTAAGAAGCTTACTGCTCAACCCACACCTTAGAGAGCTGATGGTCAGCCTTGACCAGGGGGACAACAAAGCAAAGCTCATGAGAGCCTGCATGCAGGAGCCGTTATTTGTGGAGTTTGCCGACTGCTGTTTAAGGATCGTGGAACCGCCCCAAAATGAGGATTCTTGAGCTGGATTGTTGTGCTGTTTGCGCAGGCACGTGCAGACTCTCGGCTCCTTTGTCCAGGAGACCAGTTGGTGTGGGGCCTGAGTAAGGATTGGGATCTCCAGGATGCACCTTTCTGGTGGTGGACAGGCTGCATTTTGCTTCCGTCGACTCTGGGCTTGGATTTTAGGTAGAGATGGGGGCACTCGTGTTGGCATTCTGAGAGAGACCTTGACATTTGAGTGGTTATTTTCAAGTGTTTTATTTTTGGTACAGTTAAGGTAGACATCACAAATGATATCATTTAGCAAGTTTCACATCTGTTTGAGTTAAAACTTGCTGTGTTACTAAATAAAATCAAGATTTGGTAGCTCTACAGTACAGTGCACTGGTATTATCCTTGGTTCATAATTGCTTGAAATTACATTAAATAAATCAACATATTAAATAGTAAGATTTGGCTCCTTTCTGAGGAACTAAATGCAAAATTTCCCCCAGCCAGAATCTTAGAGCTGATTTTGCCTATTCTGTTTGGGGTGGGGGTACCCCATTGTAGTGGTGGGCAGCACTTAGTCCTCTGAGTTGTGAAGGCAGTGAGAGGTGACGTTCTCTGTGGCCCCAATGTCCCTTCACCCTGGTTTGATCGTGACGGCCCTGACACCAGGAGATGGCCGGCAGGGGCCGTCCACAGGTGCCTGGAGCCACTGTGGGAGCAGTTTGGCAGCTGTGTGTTGATTCAGTGTCTTTGGCAATGCAGCTGGCAGGGGAAGGCCTTGTAGACAATGGCACCGAGGATCACTCAGCCGAGTGAGGAGAGAAGGCGAGAGGTCACACGTGGCCCAGCCTGTGTCTTTCCAGCAGAATCTGATTAAAGCCAGCAACACTGTAGGGTGAAGGTTCAGGGCAGATATCTGCGTAGCGCAGGGGAGACTTTCTGCAGTGAAACTTTATAGAGCCCTGGAGGGAGAGAAGAACTGGTGTAAGAGCCCAAGCCAGAACAGCATTGAGTCATACTCATAAGGAGTGGCAAAGTCCAAAGCAGCATTAAAATATAATGTTTCACATCCGTCCAGTGTGAGAAAGATGAGGAAACAGGAGGACGCTCTCCCCTACTGAGAGTATCACCTGTCACATCCCTACCACTGCTGCAGGTGGAAAGGTCACGCTGTGCTGACACTGGCTGGTCTGGTGGTGTCACTGACTGCTCATCCCTCTGCCGTGGAGGGGCAGAGTTTCTCCCTGCTGCCTCAGGTTACCTCTCCTGGCCTGTGGATCGCTAGCCCGCTTTGTAGCTGGCTGACCCTTCTCCCCCAGGGGCTCGTAAGCACAAAGAGCTCCTGGCCACTGACTCCTGCTTTTCCTCAGCTGGAAAAGGAGATAAATGGAGTAAAAAATGTGCAAAATAAACTGGATGACAGCTTATTTCCAAAGCTTTTAAAAGTGGGACTAGTTAAAAGGAGAAGCCAGAAGTTAGAGGCAGTTTTTAAAAAGTGAGAGGCCCTGGGAAAGCCCTAGTTGTGAACGATGGAAAGCATGGGGGTGTTCTGGTTCCCCCACAGGTTTAGGGGGGTTTTCCTTCCAGCCTGTCCTGTTCCCACTGTGGCCTCGTGGCTTTCCTTCTCAGGGCGTGAGGTGCTGTCACACAGCTTACCTGAGGCAGCGCTCGGATGGATGTGACGCCAGCTTGCTCCTGTGCCGCCTGGATGGTGTGGTTACTGGGGTGGCGTGGGGGAAGCTGCAGGCAGGCGCAGGCCACCAGCTTCCTCTGAAAGCCGTGTACACCCACTGCCGCATTGGCCAGGACCAGTCCCAGGGGCCACAGGCGGATTATTGCCCCCAGGAGCTTGGTCTCTGCCTGAGGCAGCAAGAAGGAACTTGGGGAATGGGGAGCTTGAGGCAAGTGTTTTTCTTCCATACCATCGAGTTCTTTAGAAGCAAGGAGGGACATTCTGACCTTAAAAAGAGAGCACACTTATATCCAATGCAGCTGTTCAGGCGACTTAAAAAACATTCTATCCCTTTAAGGCATACAGGCCGCGGTTTTAGTATATTGCCAGCATTGTTACTCTGCCCTCTGACGCCCCTGCAGCCCCTGCAGCGTAGGGCCTGCACTCCCCCAGCTCCACCCTGACCTGGAGTCAGGTACTCACTCTCCACCTCTGCCAGGCGCGCTTGATGACCGTGGCGGCTTTGTGCAGCTTCTGGATGTGCTTCCGGGTTAACCAGGAGCGGAGAGCTAAGGGGTGTGTCCGGTGTAAGAAAAAGTAAAATGTCAATTAGAACTCGCAGAACTTGGCACGGAAGCGAGACCAGAGTTTGAGGTGTGTGTCCTTTACATTTCTTTTTTTGATTGATATATTTATGCATACAAAAACTAGGGTGTTGGCCAGAGGTGGGGGAGGGTGAGAGGATTCATCAGAGTCAGTGGGGAGCAGAACAGGCAGATCAATGAAGTACACTGCTGAGGGGAGCAGGGGGCAAGACGAGAGGTCTGCTGCCCCATGTGGGTCAGTTCCTTGGCGGGGGATTGAACTCTGCTGCAGTAGCTGGTGACAGCTTCATAGTGCTGAGACTTTAACCCCTGTGCCACCAAGGAGGCCTTGTCCTTTTACATAGAGCTAACTGGCTCCAGATGGCACCATCACTGCCCGCGGGCTCGGAGACGCCTACTTCCTAAAGTGGTGGCTAGGAGCTCACCCCTGACCCCTGTCTGGAGCAGCCAGTGCCCAGGGAACAAGAATATTCTGCATCTTTTAAAACTGTTCTCTGGGAAACCCTCAAGTTTGGGTAAGCTGGATGTGCTTGCTTATTGGCCCTGAATAAAACCGCGATATGCCCCAAAGTGCTGATAAAGGTAGTAATTTGGAGAAAGGGTCATTCATTAAGTACAAATGCATATAGATTCTGGGAAACTAGAACAATAAATTTTTTTTTTAAAAAAAAGCTATAAAAAAACATTTAATTGCATTATAGGGCCAGCATAATCCGGCTGTGACTCCACCATGATCCGATAATTGGGTTTTTCTAATGTTTTCATTTTTCAAAATATGACCATAGTGCTATGAACATAATTCCTATATCTCTTGTTTTGAGGAACCAAGTCTTGGTTTTTACCTTACATCTGCTGTGGACCCTACAACTTAGCAGGTAATGACTGTAGTCATGAAGGGAAAACCAATGTATAAATGGCTCTTTAGGTTTGGGAAAGGGGGGGGTTTCCCAGAGAACAGTTTTTCCTCTTCTGTGTACAGAACACCCTTCCTGTGGTGTGACCTGATTTCCACCAAGCTGGAGGCTCTTGGAGTCCAGAACTGGAATCCCAGGGCACCACAGGGATAAGCCAGCACAGTCTTGAGGCTGGGACATGGGGCACAGGGAGACTAACGCAGAATTTCAAAAGCAGCTGGTGGGTCTGTGCACCTCTGATAGCAGCTGCATCTAGGCACATCTGCCTGGAACAGATGCTGCCCGGGGCCCACCCCTCCTACCTGCCTGGATCAGCGTGGCAGCCCGTCTCTGCCTCTCCTGCTTGCGTCGCTTGTATTGCCTCCAGCCACCCTGGATGCAGTGGGCACACTGCTCCAGCACCTGGGCACGCCTGTGTTCCAGAAGCTCCAGCTGGGAGAAGGGACATTTGCTTAGGTCCTTAGCCTCTCCCCTGCCCATGCCCCAGCCCTGAGGAGGGCACGTGGCTGGCCTCTGCTTGTCATCCCAGAGCAGCTTACCATAGAGTCAGTCATGAACACCTTGGTCTTGCCACAGTGCACAGGGGCCAGTGTGGCCTCTGCTGGGTCACCAGGTACGTCTGTTGCTTGCATTAGAGCTGACATAGTGTTAAGGATACCCCTGAGGCGAAGTTGCAGAGTAGCCTCCTCAGCCTGTAGAGAATGTTCTGGGGGATGGGCAACAGAAATTCTTTAGTGTGTGGTCATCGACATACTTCTATGGCCTTAAGAAACTGGTTCTGGTCTCCATAACACTCTACAGGTTTCTTCCCTACAGTTCTTGTCTTTAACTATTTCTACCTCTCCTTTTCTGGGGGAGGCCAGAAGCAGCCCCCTAGATCCCTAGCTGTTCTGAAGAGTCTCGGAATCTCCACTTGTGGGCTGCGTCCCGGACTCTTAACTTGGAAGCCCAGGCAGCTCAGCCAGTGTTGTTTCTAAGGATCCAGCATGCAGGTGGCCAGACAGGGCAGCCTCACCACCCACTGAGCCTGACCCCTCACTACCCGCCATGCAAGGGGGCAAGGGGGAAGGAAGAGCAAATCCCAGCTGTGGTCAAGCGGAGGCCCAGTGAGTCCCAGTGCGTCCTGCAGGTAGGGCTGACTGACTCCTGTGCTGGGAGGATTTACCTGCGGGCTCTGACCACCGTTAGCTGCCCAGTGCCTCGCCTCACTGGAGACAAAGGCGAAAGAAGACGCCGGAGAGGAGGAACAGCAGCAAAATCAACCAGGGACCCCGGGGCTTTGGGCAAGAGACCAGAGCAGTAGAGCAAACCATGGAGAGAGAGAAAAAGAGTGAGGGAGAAGGGATGAAAGAAAAGTAACAAAACTGCCTGAGAGGAGAGAATCATTCCAGCAGGTGTTGATGGGCCCAGGTAAGGCTGTGTGCTGGGCTGGGGTCCTGCTGACCCAGGGCCTCACACTGTCCCTGTGCAGGGCCTTACCCACAGCCTCAGTGCTATCTATGTGCCCGCTCCCACCTGGGAGCCGCAGATTAGGCCTCTCCCTTGAGCTGTTAAAGCCTGAAGAGTGCCTTGCAAGCATCCCCGCCGGATGACTCTAGGGGCCTGCTGCTCAGGTCAGCCCTGACGGGGCTCTGCATCTTCCTCCAAATCTGTCTTCTCTCTGGCCAGGCCAGTGAATTCTTTCCTCACCCTTTGCCTCTAGTTGAATGCTTGTCGCATCTGATCAGTTTTTCGCAAACCCTGACTGCCCACACATCTAGCTTCTGTCAACTCCCATGACCTGCCAGAGGACCCCGCAGTGGTCTTCATAGCAAGAGGCTAATGGTAGCCCCCACCCCCACCTCAATACCTCCTGTTTGCCCACTGAATAAAGTCTAGCTTTGGGTCCCATGTGGTCCCACCATCCTCTGCCCTTGTGAACCAGTAGCACTTAATGTCTGGGTGTTCCTCATCCACAGTGACCCCTGTGGAGTGCTCTTCATACGACTCCACCTAGTCTCAGACACCACCTCCAGGAAGCCTTTCCTGAATCATAATGCCTAACCCATAGCATCATGCTCTAGCTCTGTTTTCCCACTGTTGTTTTAGTGTGTTTCCTCCCATTAAACCAAAACCATAGGGTAGGATTGTTTCACTCATGTCTGCACTCGTCTGAGGGTCAGGGCGCACTGTAAACTGGATGAACAAATGACTCGCAAATGGGCCTCACTCACCTGAGTGCCCTTCATCAGGTGGGTTGTGGGGGCCAAGGGATCTGCGAGGACAGAGCCTTCTCAGTAATTCGTAGCGTTCCACAAAGTTCTGGTGAGAGACCCTGGAAGCCAAAGCAGGCAGAAGAGAATGAAGCAACTTCATCACGAGCTAGGAAGAGCACACGTGCAGGGGGAAGTGGATTTCCTGTGCTCAGTGACCCAGCAAGGTGCTGTCCTGACCATGAATGGCTGAGGACGTGGTGCTGGAGAGCGCACCAGGGTCGCTCGGCGGGACTGTTTTAATCCAGCCAGCTCTTCTGCTGCCTGCTCTACCAGAACAAAGTGGCCTCACTTTCCTAGCAGCCTGTCTCTTTCCCAAGGGGCTGTAGGCCTTTCAGGCAACTCCATCAGCTCTACTACACACACATGCTCGCAGATACATTCATTTGCTTCAGACGGGGGCTGGGAAGTTGCTTCTAAAAGCTAGACATTGACTACTCTTCCATACAGTATCCTACGGTCAGTTAGTCCACAGCCCTCTTTCTGTTGCAAGCCACAATCCAATTTCACCCAGTTTCTCTGTTTTTCACTAGTGCCAGCTTTGTCTAGGCCACCATCTTGCCAGTGTACGCACATCAGCCTTCCCTCCTGGGTCCTGTCTTAGAAACTGAAAGAACACGCCACTTTCTCTTAAAGTTCTAAGACTGCTTGGCCTGCAAGACTCCTCTCCTCCTCCATCACTTAGCTTTGACTTCCTGACCTGGGAGCTTTGTGGTTACAACTTACCTGTATGCTCTCTGCTCCCCCAGATTGGCCCTTCCCTTGCCAGCCCAAGGATCCCCATCCTCATTCTGTGTGGTAACAATTTGTTTCCTACCACTAATTAAACTTCATACTTATTTCCTTGGGAATATAGCTCCCAAAAGGCAGAGCCTCTCCTCATTCACTGCCACACCGCCAGAAACGGTGCCCAGTAAAGACAGTGCCAAGAAAGTGACTGGATAAATGAACAGCTGTAGCTCCTTCAGTTCTAGTTAACTTCCACAGACTTGCCTCTTTCTCCTCACCTCCACATCCTGTTCTGGGCTGGGCAGACCCAAGCGCCACCGTGGCACTGACCCCTTCCCCTGCCACGACAGGCAGACTCACCGGATGGGGAAGCCGGCGGCACTGATGTGGATGGTCTCCACGAGGCCGCAGGCCTGCAGCTGGCTCAGGACCTGCAAGCGTGGGGAAACAGGTTGGCCTCTGCAGCCCAGGGCCAGCAGGCCAGAAACCACCCTTCGGCAGCCATGAGTAGCATGGACCTGCAGGCTCTCCCGAGGCAGTGGGGAATGCAGGGACCAGGCCCCTTATCTGGTGCAGCCAAGGCAGGTGCTGGCTGGGCTCAGCCAGCACACAGATGCACCGCCTCAAGGAGCCCAGCTTGGTTCTGTTTTTATTCTATTTTATATTTTGCAGGCAATAGTCAGGCCAGAGGTGTGTGTGTGGGGGAGGGGGTGAGAGGATTAACCAGACAGAGTGGGGAGCAGAACAGGCAGATTGACAAATACACTGCTGAGGGAAGCAGTGGGCGGGTCAGGAGAGGTCTGCCGCGCCATGTGTGTCAGCTCCCGGCCGGGGATCACACTTGTGCTTCAGTGGTTGTGATAGTCTCACAGTGCTGCGCTGCAACCCGCTGCGCTGCCAGGGAAGGCCCTGAAGGTCAAGGTTTTAGCACGAAGCAGAGGAGGCCTGGCTACAAATCCTAACTAAGGCCACATGGGTCACTCCAGCTTTATCCAGCACTTACCTCAACCACACCCTTCAGAGCCCAGTACCCTGAGGGGTGGCTGCTGGCTAGAGTTATGTTTGTGCAAATTAAGAAAAACTACTCTCAGAAAAGGCTGCACTGTGTGCGGACTGTGAGTGGTGCCTACTTTCAGCTAATCACAAAAGACACCCACTTGTAGCAGCTTCAGTCTCTCAGGGCACACAGCTGGTAAGCAGAGGACCATAAGATGCACTGGCATGCCATTCACCCTGGCTGCTCACTGGGCAACAAGACCACACGGCCCCAGGCTGCTGTGCATAGCAGGGGAAGACTGAGAGGCTGCCTCCAGTCACTCCAGTTGGAGTAGAGGTTGCTTTTCTCCTCCCTGATCTTGGCCAGATGGGGCTCTACAAAGCAGTAGTTGGGCTCAGTGTGAATTACCTCCTCCTGGAGAAAGGTCTGTGCCTGGCCCTGGCTGTTGGGCTTGATGCAGCGAATGTAGTGAGGTGTAGTGCTCTGCAGGACCTGCAAAAGCTGCTCCAGGGAGGCCTGCAGAGGAGAAAGACTGCCGGATCAGGCAGGGATTGGGCTTGCCTAGAGGTGTCAACCCTTCAGCCTGGCCCCCAGACCCAGCCTGCACCATGCCACCCACAGGCCCCAGGCTGCCGGTCATGCCATTTACACTGACAGTCCCTTTGTTTCCTGTCTTTCTGCCTCTTGGGACTCAGCTCCATGTATTCTGGGTCTGTGCTGCCTGTCTGATCTAAGTTCCCAACACGCAGCTCCAGTCCTGGGATATGCTTGATAAACATTTGAGCTTGAATAAACCGAGCACTTGAGTCAGCACCACCACACCCACCTTGAACTTGGACACCACTGTCAACACAGGGGCCCTGCTCTGGCCAGGAGGCTCCTCCTGGGACTTCTCTTTGGGGTCAGTAGGAAACAGCACCTTGAGCAGCGGGTCCTGGGACTGCTGCAGGAGCCAGGTCAGCTCAGGTGGTACAGGGTCCTGTTGGTAACGGCCAAGGGCAGGGGGTAAGGGATGGTGGAGTGTTACCAGGGTCATTGCTGGACAGATCCCACCCGATCAGCAGATACCTCAGAAAAGCCCAAGAGGTGACCATGGGTGCTGGGAGGAGGTGCAGAAAAAGGGACACAAACAGGAAACTACTCTGAGCTGTGCCGACCCCCACAGAGCAGGGTCGGGCCTTGCCTTGTTCTTCTCCACTAGGCCCGCGGTCTGGTACTGCACGGGGCCCGCGTAGTGCACCACGATGAAGCTGGGCTCCCGGCTGAGCCTGTTTTGGCGCAGGCAGGGGTTGCTGGCCAGGGCGCTCTCAATGCGTGTCTGGAGCTGGGCTGCACTGCTCGGCCGATTAAGGCGGCATTCCTGTGGGGCAGGATGGCAGTCAGCTGTGACGTGAAGGGTCTCACCTCAGTCCCCACCTGCCGTCCTCAGACAGTGTTGTCACACTGGCATCACAGTGGCTCTGAGTGGGAGGGATGAAAGTGACCAGCAAACCCAGCTGGCAGCTGGGGAGACAAGCCCAGAGGGCACAGGATAATCTTCAAGGCCCCACCTCATTTATGAGGGAGCAGATGCTGATGGGGCTCCCCTCGATGAGATCCAAACAGGTCTGGTTGTCTTGATAGCTGACAAATGACCACTCCAGGCCCTCAATGGCGTATTCTTCCTGGGAGGCAAAGGGGGTTAGAGGCAGCAGTTGCTGTGGCCTGTGTTGGTACCACAGCATCTTCCAACAGCATCAAAGATGAACAGAGGGCCCCTGTCAGATCCTGGGATGGGGCTGAGGGGCCAGGAGGAGAGAAAGGACGCAGAGGGCACCAGCGCTTCCCCACCTGCTGAGCCCGCAGGTAGTGAGCCACGAAGTGCTGCTGCAGCTTCTCGTTGGCGTAGTTGATGCATAACTGTTCCAGACTGTTGTCAGGAAAGGACTCAAATCCGTACACATCCAGCAGGCCTGGAGGACAGGGGGGACCCCATGGGCTGCTGCAGGGAGCAGGCGGAGGGCAGGGGTGAAGCCCCACGCTTGGCTGTCTGGGGATGCAGGTGAGTGAGCACAGCTCCCCCCACCCCAGGGTCAGTCCTATCTTCACCTCCTGCCCCCTGGGAACTCAGTGGCATAAAGTATGAGGGGCAACCAAAAGCACCAGATCCACCTCTAAGCTGAATCCCTGGTCCCAGCTGGCGCTCCTGCGAGGGCGCCAGGTCCCAGGAGTGTTTTCTGTGTCCAATCCAGTCTGGAGGGGCCTGTGACTCAGGAGCCCAGCTGGTGCTAGAATCCCATCATGCCCTGAGCAAACTTCTCCAGAGCTTGAAACTTTACTTCCTCCAGCACCTGTCTCACCTGGGTCCCAATGTTATGTTCCTCACGTCCTAATTTAGCCCTTTCCTTCACCCTCACCCCTGTCCTCCCCCATGGGGGAGAATGGTGCTGAGTCCCCAGGGACCTGGAGAGCAGACACCTCCTTGCCCAAACAGTGGTGGATGGATGGACGAGCTGGGGTGCAGAGAAGGGCAGGTTCTGCCAGTCAAAAAAATGGGCTCAGGGCTCCTGCCTCTGTCCAGAGCTCAGCAATTCTTTGAAGGTATGTTCCCAGCAGGATGAACCCCTACTACCTATGAAAGTGGCCCAGGAGCCAGGTTCCGCGCAGATGCTGCTGTTGATCACTGACACAAGCCAGTCGAATAGCCTGTTGGGGTGGGAGAGTGGAGTCTTGTGAGAAGGGGTCGGGATGTCTGAGGGGTGGCAAACTTCCAGTCAGGACGCTGCACCCTGGGGGCCTATATCCTAAGTGACAGCTCAGGGCTAACCCCTCCGTTCTGTCCAGACTGCTGTGACCACCTCCACACACACCTGGCTGTTCTCCAAGCACCAGTAGACTCAGGCTAGGTAAGGAGTGGGCCTGCGTTCGTCACATGGCCCAAGAGTGAGCTAGCTCATGCTGGCCTAGAAGAGGCTGAGGGCAGGCCCAAGTGGTGTTTGTAAAGAACAAGTTCACGGGGCTCCTGTGAAGCTCTCCCTGTGCAGTCTAGAGTTCCAGGCTCTGCCACTTCCTTCCCATTCCCAGAGAAGTGGGCCTGAGCCACCTCCAGAGCTATTCCCACCCGCAGAAGATGAGGGCGTCACTGTCAACCTAATGGCACATACGCTATTAATAGGTCTCTTCCTTAAAATTTTTTTTTAAGCAATTGCTGCGTAACTTTTTTTCAATTCTACTGAATTTCTATTTTTGAAAATTTGAAATACTAGTTTCTATTTTTGCAACAGGAACTTCAAATACATATTTGAGGTTTTAAAACTGAATGACCTAGTGACCAAACAATCTGTTCACCATGTGAAAACTTCTGTGATTAGGAGCTAATTCTGATTGCTTACTTTGCTGTGACTTGACACAAGGCTTTAAAAATGCTTTGCCTGGAATTCCGACCTTGCTGAACTGGGTTCAGGCAGAGATCTTATTCCCTCAGCAGTGCTTCCGAGGCTTAGAACTTTTGAGAAGTCATAAAAGCAGGGGGATCTTCTCAGAAAGGTGCCCTAGTTCCCAGGTGCACACATGTGAACTCACACATAACTTTTGTTCCAAAATTTTAGAAGATACGCCAGGTCCTCTAATGCCCTTAGAAGGTAAATTGAGGGTCTCAGAACTCAGAGCAAGATTACCCTTCACCTTGAGGCCAAAGGGTAGAGGTTTCCATGGAACTCATGAGGTGGCCAGCCCCCCTACCCTCACCCTGCTCTGGGCTCCCGCTTGCTGCACACTGTTAAGACTGTGGACCAACCTCGCTCCACCCCTGCTTGTCACATTCCCTTGGTGACTCCAGAGCTGAAGGGCAAGAGTACGTGCGACAGGGCAGCCTGTTTACCCACAGGTCTGAACCTGGAACAGTGAGGCCCAGATCACCTTCGGGACCTGCCTTGGCAGCAAAGAGCTAGGCGAACTTTCGTCACCTACTGCCGAGGTCAAGGTAGGCTGCTGTACTTGTAATAATGACCTGAATCAAGCCAGAAAGTTCCCATTTTACAGACCTCTCCACGCAGAACACTCCTTAATCAAAGGCAAGGACTTTGCTGGGGAAAACCCAAGAGCCACTCCCTGCTGTCCCGAGAGGTCTGCGCCTCACCCCAGGCCTACTGCCTGACCATGTCTGATCCAACTCCAGATAGGGTTGAGAACTTGGGAGGAGGCCAGGGCCCAGAGTAACAGCTCACCGTGCATACACCAGCTTGGCCAGGCAGTCTCTGCGTGTGTCACACTCAGCTTGTGAGCAGGGCTTCCGGAACACTTGCTGTTGCTTGCCTGCCCGGATGGTTCTGATCCGTAGTGTCTCCAGGAGTGGGTCTTCTGCGAGCAGCAGCAGCGAGGCGGATATCCTGACAGAGCCTGGGAGGGACAAGGCACCCTCTGTCCAAAGAGCCCTCTTCAGAATCATCACAGAGGATGGGCCCTCCCTGGTGGCGCAATGGGTTAGGACGCAGCACTGCAAGCTGGCCACAGAGTATACAAGGGAACTATGACCCACCTGACAGGACAGAGGAAACCTGGGCTCTGGTGGATGAAGAGACTAGCTAAAGGCAGAAATAGGCCTTGAGCCCAGGACTTCCATGACCCAGTCTGCACAGCCACGTACAGGACAAAGCATAAGCCCTCTGACTCATTTTCCCATTTGTACAATCGGGACAATACAGTCTACCTCACTAGGGTGAGGAGTAGCTTATCCAGGAGGGTTTCATCACATGGTGTCAGATCCCAATGTCGGCCTCCCACCCAACTACAGCGATGGTGGCTCCTTTTTGGGCAGGGCCTGGGTATGACCAAAGAGCTAAAGCACAGGCCTCACCCTCAGCACCGTCCATCGGCTGGCAGGGCTGGGCTTCATCGTCGGACTCAGCAAACTGGATGTTGCCAAGGTGCAGCAGTCCCGCTAGGACCTATGGCGGCAGGAGAGGAGGGACAGGAGAGGCCAAGTGGACATCTTCTCCCCAAGGGCTGGACAGTCAGGATAACAGAGTGCTCACAGCAGCTCTTGGTTATTGCCCACTTACTGTATGACTACCAGGCACCAGCATAGATGAGTCACAGGCCTCACCCGTTTAACCTTTTTGCCCATCTATGAGGCGTGTGCTGTGATGATGCCATGATAGAGATGAGCCAGGGAGAGATTAAACCGCAGCCTAAGGCCCACACTTAGTGACGGAGAAAGGCAAGGTGAGAACCCAGGAGGCCACCTGCTGTCTCCCCGCTGCCCATTCTCAGGAAGCAGATTTTGTGGGGACACCACTCCAGTTAGTTACTTGTGGATTGGGGTGACTTGTGTGCCAATGGGAGCTTGGCCCTAGCTCCCTCTGGCCCTTTCTCAGTGCCACGGGGCTTCTGGTGGCCCAGCCTCAGGGAGGATGTGACTGCCATCTCTCTGGGCTGGCCTCTGCCCTTGCCCGTGCACTCAGCGGTCACTGGCTGTAGCAGACCCCTACGTGCAGCGACTTGGAAGCACCTGGTATCGGGAAGCAGGGCCTCTCCCACAACCCGTCTGCGTGCCACTAGCTCCCCGTCACAGCCCACTTGAGGGGACAGCAGGGTTGATGGGCAGTGCGGCTGCAGTGCACGGAGGTGCCACCCTTAAGTCAGCATTTGGACCCGGATTCCTAGTGTTGCAGTGTTGGCCCCTGTCCCCATGTGTTGTCCCTCTGCCTGGCGCTGCTCACACTGCCTCTTCTGCCCAAGCAGCCCCAGCTAGAGGTGGATTCACTTTTCACCCTTCTGCAGCCTCTCCGTGGGGGTTCCGGTCCCTGCTGCCAGCCTCTCCTGTCTGTCTCCTCCCACAGCTTTGCAGGGAGACGAGAGGAGGGGCTGGGGCTAGCCTGTCATCACATGCAAGAAGCAAGGGTCCAGCTCACCTGGGTCAGCACTGTGTCCCCAGAGGGAGGCAGGAAGTAGGAATTACTTGGTACTATCATTTAATGGCGTCTGGCCTAGGGAAAGTCTTTCTACTCCTATTTTCTCAGGTATAAATGGGCTTAATCGCTACACACAAGACTACTGGAAAGAAACAAGTGAACTAAGAGTTGTGAACGTGATTTTAAAGTAAACAAACTAGACAAACACGGTAGCATCTCCCCTGGTAACTGCAGTAATAACCCACCCGGCGTCTTGCCCTGACTCCCTGAGGGCTGCACTGTGTCGGGCACCACAGCGCCACGCGCTCCGCTCTTCTGTGCCCCGCTCACCCTGACGCCCTGGCCCAGGCCCAGCTGCACAGGGGGTGGAGATTACAAGTGAGCCTGAGTCCTAGGCCCTAGAGAAGGGCCCTGGGGATGGGGCTGCCCATCATCCCTGCCAAATCGAAGTGGCATAGCTCTTCTCCTGACCTTAAAGATGTTGTTCTGGGTGGGGGTGTCGATGCCCAAATGAAGCATGGCCTCTCTGGTCACCTCAAAACAATCCTCTGAAAAGAAATTCAAGTCACATCTCAACGTCAGAACCAGAGCTCAGCAGGGGCAGCGAGGGTGAGGAAGGCAGGCCTTGAGTGGCGAGGAGGCGGGAGCTGGGTGAGGCGCCCCCTACCTTCCAGGGTCCTCTCTGAGTTGGGCAGCCAGGAGAAGGCTGCTCCCTCGGGGAGGTGCCACCGGAGCCGCTCATCTGCACTGGCTCCTTTGCAGATCTGTGGGGGTAGGGCTGGCTGAACTAGGGGCATGAAGGAAAGAGGCCTATGCCGGTCTGGGGCTGGAGGAGAGGAAAAACGGCAGCAACAGCACAGAGCTGCGAGGTCTCTATAAGCTGAGGCAGGCACAGGGGCAAAAGAAACAAACCGTTCTAGCGGTGTCAACTGGATGCACAAAAGCCCTGCTGGGGAGGCCTGTACACGAAGCACACACAGCTCCTGTCTGGGGAGTCTCCAGTATTGCCCAAGGAGGCATGCCCCTTACCTAAGGCGCTCCTAAGCTGAAAGCAGAAAGAGATACAGGCCATATCTTGGGGCCCAGTCAGATGGACGAGGCATAGTGTTAGAGAAGTACTTGCCCTGTTGGAGGGGGATGGTACTTTCTACAAGTACCTTACGTCTGGCGTTCAATCTAATGACAATTCCAGCCTTAAGGACCTTCGAGTCTGAGAGAGGCAGTAAAATGTCCCCATGCCAAATCCATCCCAGGAGCCAAGGACCAGTGAGCAGAGTGCTCAGTCTATAGGAGTCTGGTGGTGTCCCGGAAAGTCATGTGCAAGGGCATTCTGGAGTGTGGTGGGGCTGCAGGAACAGACTCATTTCCACCCTGCATCTGGGTGTGGGCCCCACCTGGAACAGACCTGGTAGAAGATGTGGAAGTTCCTCTCACTGGAGGCCTGGCAGGCCACTCGAGTTTTCTCTAGGAGGTAGGTCTGGACTGCAGCTCCAGTCATCTGCTGGGCCCTGGGCACATGCAGGCCGGAGCCCGTTAGTTGCCCGTTCATTTCATAGCCATTTAGTAGGCACTGTGTGCCAAAATACAATGTAGCCAATTACCCCCAAGCTCTTCCAGTTAGCTGATAGGGGTCTGTGATAGGGGTCTATGAGGCCGAGGGACCACTCAGTGGGCCCTTGGGTGGCCTGAGACATTCTCTTGTAACCAACTCGATGGACAGGGTAAAGGCCTCTGCACGTCATATCATTCTGCCCTATCCCAAGGCAGAAGAGTCAAACTTCAAGGTCAGGGGTGGGGTTAGAAGTGGCGGTTCAGCTCAAAGTCCTGGAGCAAGAGCAGAAGCCAGAAGGAGAAGCCGTGACTGTGGCAAGCAGGCGCCCAGGGTCCCTAAGGCTGGAGTAGCTACAGTTCTAGTTAGGAGAACACCCTTGAGGTTCAAAGGTCTGAAAGAACCCCATTCAAATGCATGCAGGGAGTAGGGTTTGTCACAGGGAGGCCCAGGCTGGAGAGTGCCCTGGCCACTTTCAAACTACTCCCCACACCCATCCTCCCCTTAGCCAGGGTGGCAGCAGCAATTACCTGTTTAGCTGGAGCTGGATGAACTTCCCAAAGCGACTGCTGTTGCTGTTCCTCAGGGTGCACGCATTCCCTACAGATTATGCCTAAGTTTATACCACTTAGAGTTCTCAGGGGTCAAGGAGGCTGCAGTCGCCTGGGGCCATGTCTCTATCCCCAAGTCACCCAAAGGGCCCTCTGTCCCCTCTCGTGGGAAGGCCAAGAGGAAGAATTTCCTGACAGTGAACAGGAACTAGCAAGTTTAGGTAGTCAGGGACTGTTTTTTAGGAGAAGAGGGTCTAAGGACTGTCACATTGCCTTTAGACAGCGAGGCACAACATCCAGCTCAGTGCTAGCAGGACGCTAACTGTTGTGTGACCTCAGACAAGTCCCCTTCTTCTCTGAGCCATGGGAAGCTGTGTGGAGGGACAGGACTAGGCAAACCCAGGGTCCCCTCCAGCACCACGGAATGGTGCCACCTCTACTGGATGAGATTAAGGGCTCCTAGGGGAGTTGGGGGGTCTAAGGTAATGAATGATACATTCATCCCCCAACCCCCAGAGACAATGGGACTGAGCAATTGTGCAGAGGACACTGCGCTCACCAAAAGCCTCCATGACAGGGTTGGAGTTCAAAATTCGCTGTTCAATCCTCTCTGCAATCTTGTGGCTCTCCCAGGATGTGGATGAGGTGGTGACCACAGCGTAGAATTTCATCAGGCAGCGGGACGTCCATGTCTGCAGCAGAAGCAGCCGTGCTGTGCCTACCTTCCCTCCTAATCCTGAGGGAACAGAGCCCACAGAGCCCTCTTCCCCAGAGCCTTCTTCCCTGCCGTGCGAATTGCTGACCACGCTGGGTTGGTGTGGTGTGTCCTTGCACAAGATGTTCCCCATGTCTGTGAAATGTGGGTGCTCAACTCTGCTTCTAGCTCCAGAGGAGATATTTAAGAAATGAGGATGGCTGGGGTAGAGAAGCAGTCACCCATCCTGACTGGCATATGCTACTCAGTACCTATGAGGGCTCACAGCTAATAGTGATGAGCTCCGCGGCAGGCACCGAGCTAGATACTTACTGGGCCGTTTCTTTCTAACTACGGACACAGGTGCAATCATATACCTGGTTCCAAAATTAGGAAACTCAAGCATAGAAATTGTTAAGTTTTATTGAAGATCACATATTTAGTAAATGGCAGGAGCCTGATTTACAACTAGGTAAGCTAATTATAAAATTTTTACTGTTCTGTTTTTTTAACCTGCTGAAAAGAGGTATAAGTTCAGTTAAATTTCTAGTTGCTTGTAGCTAAGACAGAAATACAGTTAAGCTACCTATAGTGAGAGCTCCTATCTAAAGCTTCTAATCAATTATTTAAGTCTTATTCTTAAATATGAACAGAAACTCAAGGATGATTACTTGTTTGATGAACAAATAAAAAGATAAATACAATAAATGGACAAAAGATAATTAATGAAATTTCCTACTACCATGAATTCTAGAAAGGGAAAGAAGGGAGGACATTATTAATTAGATATAATGCAAAAAATATTTTTCTAAACAAAAGCACAGGAGTTTTTAGGCTAAACAGTACCCTGCACAATAGGCAGAAAAAGACAATAGCAAGATAGCATGTGATCTTAATGCCTATGGATAAAGAAGCAAACTGAAAGCTTTTGGAGAGAAAAAGAAATCACCATTTGTGGACTTAGGAATCTTAACAGTAATAGTAAAGTAATATATAAGGAAAAAGACTAAATTTGAAAAGAAAATTATTTTTAAGATGCCCAGAACAATTCCATGGGGCAGTGGGCTTTATCCCAGGAGCTGACTACTCTCCTGGCCTCCATAATTAGCTCTCAAGGACTCTTTTCTCATCTAAGTCCAGTGTCTTGTTGCAAGTTATAGTCTTCCTCGATTTCCCTGTCTCTTTCCCTGTGGACTGAGAGCTTCTTGAAAGCATTTCTTCCATCTCTGTTGCCCTCCCTGTCACCTCTCAGTGACTGGCCCAGGACCTAGAGCCTGGAGGTGCTTAGTGTCCAGCAATTCTCTCACACGTGAGTGTAGGCAGAGGAAATTCCTAGTGCAGAGAATCCTTTGCCAAGTACAATGGAAAGGGTGGGGGCTGGGTGAGTCTTGGGAGGGTGGTGGCAATGTCTGACTACCTGCGCACTCAGCCATTCTTGAGTAATGCTGTACTTCATCTATTGTGGTCCTGCCCCCCAGGACCCACATGACCTAGCAGGAGCTTCTGTCCTTCCCCGGAGCCAGCCCAGTGCTATGAGTTGGCCATCACAGGCAGCCCAGAAGGCACAAATGGGCCACTCAATAAACACTTTCCACAGGTAACCCGTTACTCTTACGGGAGTGCTGCCCTGTGCCAAGCGTGCCACCGAACACTAGGTGTGCACCGCTTCCTGAGCTCACAGAAGTCCCATGAGTTAGGTCTCAGTGTTCCCCCCCTTGCCTTTTTAAAAATGAAAGAACAGAGCTTACAAAAGCTAAGTATTTTTCTAATGTTCTATTTACCACTATGTTGGAATCCCCAACAGTTCACATTTGTTTCCAGTGGTGTCCAAGCTGTAAGAGACCTCTGAGGAGAAAATGAAGGCTTGGGAAGGATAGTATCTCACCCAGGGTTACATGAGAAGTGGTGGAAGAGCCTGAACTAGAACCCTGCCTCATCTTGCGGGCCAGCCCTGTGCTTGCTCCCCACTGCACAGTGACTCCCTGAGAGTAACGAGGCAGCCAGTCACCCCTGAAAGAATGACCCCCTCCCTTGCTGCCCACCCACCAAGTCATGAAGTTGACAAAGTGGGAAGGAAGCCTCATTCCTACCTTTCCAGCACCACTCTCTCCACTGACAACAATAGACTGGTTGACTGGCTCGATCAGGCTCTTGACATTCCTGTAGGTCTGTTCACCCACAGTGAAGATGTGGGGCTTCAGTTTCTAAAACATCAAAGGGTGAAAGGTCACAAGGAGGAACATGTTTCTCAGGGGCACTTGACCCAATGCGGGCTGAGGTGCCAGGAGTTTCCTCTAGAAAAATTTCCTGGATGGAACAGTGTTAGGCCTAACTGTGAGATCCCCTGGGATCTTCTCTCGTCTGAAAGTAGCCTTGACCAGATTAAGACAATATTATTATCTTCTCATCTTACCCGTAGTGGTCTTATTTTGATGCTTATTATTTCATATTATTGTATTTTACGAAGAACTTTAGTTACTGCCTAAAAAGTCTTTATCAGCTGGATAGCTAACCCTACTTTATAGGTGAGTAACCTGAGGTTCAGAGGGTTTAAATAACCTCCCCAAGGCTACTCAGCACATGAGTGAATCTATGTGATTTGAATTCCAAGGACACTCTTTTCTATCAACAAATATTGTCTTCATTGTGCTGGACACCAAACCCTGAGGAATCAGAGGGACCAGGATATGATTGTTGCTTTGAGGAGGCAGACAGCGTGTGAGGTATGTGTTCCCCTTGTAACTTAGCCAGGCATGGTCTTCTAGAGTGCCATCTACATGATGCCCAGTCAGCCCGCACCACCCACTGAGCTATTGCCATTTACTCACAGGCCCTCTCCTAAAAGGAGGACTGTCCTGGCTGACGTCGGATCCACCCCTTTCCCACCTGCCTTGCTCCAGCCACCGCTCACCAGTTATCAAGCTTCCAACTGGTCAACCTACCTCCTGTCTCACATTCCTGAACGCAGCTTCCTCAGTTTCCAGAATAATTATCCCCAGTGTGGGCTCCATTCACAGTCCTACCTCTACCTCTGGTGAAGCAGTTTTGTGAACTCTGTTCACTGTGGTGCTTCAGACCTTTCACCAACATCCTGGTTGTCTCATCTTCCTACCCTAATCCCTTTCCTCTCTGCTCAATAGTCTCCCTCCTGCCGACAAGCCTGCGTTTGCCTCTTGAAACACATGCACTTCACCACCATGTCCCCCTGCATGCGCTGCCCTCATCAGAACCTATCCCCTCTCAGCAGAGATAAGCATATGCTGAATTCTCTATGACAATTATTTTTCCATGTAATTCTATTGTTTTCCCAAGAAAGGCTTTGTTAAATACACAAACACATCTCTATAATTTTTTTCCTATTAATAAGTTCACAAACAAGGGGGAAAGTCCTTTGTTCTATGTCCCTAGTTTAGGTTTTCAATTTAGCTCACCAGCTATTACCTCCCACTTTGCTCCCATTGTCATGTGTCCAAAATTCTGTGGCACCAGCAGACTCTGAGTGACTGCATGAATAAAGACTTAAAGCTGCAAGGAGGTCCAGGGGAAGGCAGGGTGCTCTCAGGCACCCAGGGGCCACTGTCTTACCTGGGGCTGAGGAGCAGTGTGGTATTCTCTCATCAGCTCTGCTGAGTAGAGCTGAGGGACAGGCTTGAAGGGGTTCAGAGCCACCAGGGTGCAGCCAGCATTGGTGTAGAACGTGTCTGCTGTGTACCGGGCCTGCAGACACCTCAGGACTGATGAAGAGATGTCTTTAGCAAACTCTGGCTCAAATGTAGACACAACCCCACAGACATATACCAGCATAACAGTGCTCCTCTGCAATTAGCCAAGTGCCATTAAATCAGCTCCCTGATGAGTAGGTACAAGATCCAATTAAGATGAGCCCCAAATCTGGAGCAGAGCCTGTGCTGGGGCTCCTCGCAGGCAGAGGTCTGGGGCAGCCCATCTGGCTCACTGTTGAGTCATGCCTGCCTCTCTCTGGCCACACTCACCTCCACCCTTTTGGGGGAGACACACTAGAGGGATGAGAGGTTCATACCTGTCTCCAGTGTCACAGGATTCACCTTGGTGAGGTCATCTAGCTGGTGAAGCGGGGCCTCCCCATCCAGGAACTCCTGTAGATCTCCACTGAGGGATTGCCGACCATGGGCATCCGAGCCTGAACTCTGGCCATTGACCTGCGTGGAAATAAAAGGGCCATGAAAGCTGGGAATAAGGCCAGCTGGCAGCTGTGCAGGAGTGGCGGTCTCTAAGTAGAAAAGGAGGAGGCCGCTAGTATCGCAGACTGATGAGGTTTAGATTTCAGTTCTGCCACTTACTAGTCCTATAAGCCTGTGTAGGTCACTTAGCCTTTCTGAGTCACAGCCTTTTCACTTGTAAATAAGGGAAGATAAAATCAACCTACAGGACTTTGGGAAGAGAAATAAAAGATATACAAAACAATCAGCGTTTGGCATATAGTATGAATTCAGTAAACCAATTCAGTAAACCAATGTTGTCCTCTTTCCTGAGCTCTGGTTTCTACCTGCCATACTGGACCTGGCAGGGTGGGGGCCTAAGGGGCAGCTACTGGAGGATTACAAAGGAAAAGACACATGGCTTGGGCCTCTGCAGAGACCACTCAGCTTGTGATGAAAAACCAGCTATGTGGTAGCCCCAGGCCTTCATCATCTGCCTCCCATGGCTTAGATTTAGCCTGGCTGATTAATTAGCTCCCTCCGCCCTAGTCTGCCTGAGAGGAAACCTCAGTCGGGTAAGGTGAAGAATGGGCCCCAAGGGGAACAGGCCCTTTCTCTTTCTCTCTTGCCTGGCTTTGATGCCAACACTTTTCCACACAAGTTTCTGCTCCCCATTTTCCTCTCATGGCCCCATTTCTTGTTTTCTTGGGACTGCAGAGGAGATGGGTATAAAGTAGAAGACAACAGACTGGCTGAGATTTGCTTTTGGAGGGAGGGGCCCATGATATGGCATTCATGGTTTTCCAAAGTGACTAGTGCACCCTAAAAGCTCAAATCCCTCAAGCCAAGCTGACAAATGCCATCTTAGAGGCCCAGTAACAAGATGTCTGTTCTCTGAATCTTGGCATGCAGAGAACACCATGATGTACAAGCAGCCCCTGATCTTTAGGATAAGTGTTGATGCCACAGCATGGCTGGATCCATGCCAATCCCTTTACTCCAGGGGAGAAAAATAATCACACATAAACTCAGTCATAATTTTCAAATAGCTCTGACCCAGCCAGAAAGGCAGCTGAGCATAATGGTCAAGAGCCTAGTTTTAAAGCTGTATTACCTGGGTTTGAATCCTTATTGTACTACTTATTAATTATGTAACTTTGTGTAAGGTTCTTCATCTTTTTGTGCCTCAATTTTTCTCACCTGTAAAATGGGAATCATGATAGTACTTAGCTCACAGATAGCATTATGTACATAAAGTGTTTGGAAAGGCACTTGGCATATGAAAAAAAAAAATCAGCTAATGTTTTCTTCAAAAAGTAGCTTTTCTGGGCCCTCCCTGGTGGCGCAGTGGGTTAAAGTGCAGCATTATGAAGCTATCACAGCCACTGCAGCACAAGTTCCATACCTGGCCAGGGAGGTGACCCACATGGCACAGCAGACCTCTCCTGTCTGATCCGCTGTGAGTGTATTTCAGTGATCTGCTTGTTCTGCTCCCCACGATGTCTCTAGTGAATTTTCTCACTCCCCACACCCCTGGCCTATACCCCAGTTCTTATATATATAAATAAATGTGTAAGGTGGCCAAGCAGTTGTGTCTGCCATGGCTCCTCTGAGACTGGCTAGCTTTACACTAGGGCATCCTGCTGAGCCATGGGCATTACATTCCAGTGACCCCACCACACGCTGATCTCCTTGAAGACATCTGATTTGGGCCTGCGCCTAACACAAAATTAAAATTCACACATATCTACTAGCATTCTCTCTGCATCGGCGTTGCATGTGAAGGACACTGATATAAGATGGAGGTCCACTGTACAGAGCCAGGCGCATTAAGGGCAGTTTCAGGTCCCAGAAGAGCCCTCCTACCCCATGTGCCCCAAAGTCCATTCACTGGTGAATCCTTCTATATTCCCACATAGGTCATCCTCTCCCACATTTTTGCACAGGCTCACCTCTGTCTGGACTGCTAACTTTCCTTCTCCACTTGGCCTATTTCTATTTATTCTTTAAGGTTCGGCCTCAAGGAACATCTATTGGAAGCCTTGGGTCTCCACTGTGCCTTGACATTTCTCATACTTACCTCTTTAGGCTTGGAAAGTCACCAAAGTGCCTGAAGGATTCCCTCATCTATCCCATTTCACCCATTCCAAGGAAAAGAGCTAAAAGTCACAAGAAAGGAGGTTCCAGTTGGTAGAAATTGATGGATGAAAGGCACTAGAGTGGCTTTCTGAAGATAGAAAAAAAGAAAGACCTCTACACAGACTTTCCCTTCCTTTCAGGTAAAGGCAAGGGGACCTTCATTCAGGCAGGCAAAAGATGGGAAGGACCTCAGGTTGACTGACGGTGATATTTTACCTGCTGGAGCATCCTGCTTCAATGTGGTCAGCCAGGGTTCTGTGTCTCGGGCATGAAGAGTGCTATCCACTTGGTCATGGGGGCACAGGCTGGGGCATGGGTCCAGCCAAAGACTCGATTTTGGAGAAATCTGAGATGAGCAACTCTAGAATCTGTGGTATGAGAGAAGGCAAGGGCCACATACAGGTAAGGGCTTCTTTAGGGTGACTCATCCCTGCTCCTCCCCACCAAGGAAGAGGAACGAAATGAGAACACAGCAAGCCTGGGCAGAGAGGGAGAGTCTTTCCTGTCCCCTGCCAATTAGGAACAGGGGAAACTTTTACAAGAGCCTCTAGAGGATCCTCAGATTCCTTCAGGGCCAGTTTTACTACAAGGTGGGGTAGGACTACAGATTCCCAGGTCAGTGTGCTGAGAAGGATGAAGACACTGGCAGACAGATACGTCTTATGTCCTACCCTCTCCACTAGACAGGTATTTAGTAGTTGTAGCCAGTATCTGGCAGGGAAGGGGGCTGGAGTCAACTCTTGATGCCCCGGGATAGCTGTCGTGTGGGAAGGAAATCACAGCTGGTGTACTGGTAAGTTACCTCACCTTCCTAGCACACCTTGAGTCTTCACCTTGAAAAGGGTGATAGTAAAATCTACCTCACAAGGAGAGGTTGTGAAGGTCAGTGAGGCCATGGATTGTAAGCACCCTACCAAGTGCAAATCTAAATATTCATAGAGGAGGACATTGTGAGTACTACTACTAAAGATGGCTTAGGGGCACTAATCAGTGCAAAGGCCCAATGTTAACTTTTAGGTGAGGATTTCAGAGGAGGGAAAAGCATCTGAGAGAGGGAGTGCTGTGAGGCTGATTTAAGGTAAGTCTCTGAAAAACTCTCAGGCTTGGAATTCTCCGCCCTCAGTGCCTCCCCCAGCAAGAAGTCAGGATGAAGGGCTGTTTGTAATGAATTAACTCTGGTGGCAACAGATATCTAATGTTTGAAAGCACTCAGGATAAGGGTTTCCACGGGTGTTGGGGAAAGGCCCATTCAAGCAGTGAAGGGCATCAGGAGTGTGATGGGCACTAACTGACCTGTCCAAGGGAGAGCCATGCAGAGGGCTTGTAAGACACAAGAACAAAGCTCGCTCCACTAGGAGTTCATCTGAAGACAGGGCCAGTTGGGGAGCAACTGTGGGGTTAGACCCCCCCCAAGCCCACGATCCCCCAAACACTCTCTTTCTTCACTTGCAAAGAGAAACAACATCCAGACCTAACACTGCTGAGTTAGGATCAAATGGGGTAGTACCTCTGTGAAGGCTTTGCCAATGTTGTGAGACAGTTTCAGCTCCCAGCAAGAGTCAAGTCAGATTAGAGTGGTTTTCTCCAGTTCTCCCAGCTCTTGCTCTCCCCTTGAGGTTACCAGCCAAGAATTTCTGGAAAGGGTGTGACCTCTGTGGGCAGGAGGAAGACGTAATGAATAGATGAAACACCCAGTCAAGGCAAGTGGCAACCTGATCAGCAGCTGTTCCTCCTCTTGAGTCTCTGGTACTTTCTCTACTTGGAGGACAGTGGAGGGCAGATGAGAAGAGTTCGGTAAGGGTTCTGGGGGCCCAGCTGGCCCCGCCCCCAGGTGCCAGGAGGGAACCCGGACTCCCGGTGTGGGCCAGGCAGCGTTCGGTAAGCACCTGGCACGGGGAGAATATGTCCTTCCCGGGAAGGTGGACGTGACCCCGGCCCAAGGGCGCGGCTGTCCAGACACCTCCCTGGGCCAGCCGCCCTCTTCCTGGTTTCTAGCTAGTGCAAGGGAGGCACTGGAGCCGGGACCCAAACTACCAGGCAGGCCCTTTCCACCCCCTGCCCCCATCCCGGTTGCCCCCTGCCGGCAAGTCGGAGAGGTGGAAAGTGACTATAAAGGGCCTTGTTCTGGGCAAGAGCCAAGAAGAGCTGTGCTCCCTACTCCCGGGATAAAGGAGGGTCAAAAAGAAAAGGGGAATAGGAAAGGGAAGGAAAATCGCTCTTTGGAAAGGCGAGGAGAAGCCACGTTCTTCCTGGGCGTCCCGGGACAAACCGGCCTCCCTTGCCCCTCAGGGGTCGCTAAGGGCTTCGGGTCTGGATTTAGGGGTGGCACTCACCGATCGCTCGACTTGAGCCGCCCCCAACTGGAAAGGCGGGCGGGCGCCCGGCGGGAAGAGCCCGGGGAGGGGAGAAACGTGAAAGGGGCGGGAGCGAGCCGGGGAGGAGAGAGAGCGGCACCACCAGTTCGCACCCGGCGGGCTGGCGCTCTGGTCAAGTGGCCCAGAGCTGACCGGCTCCTCCCCCGGGGCGGGGCGCGCACACGCGGCGCGGGGCGCACGTGGCCGCCGGGCTCCGGACTTAGGGGCTCCACCTGAAAGGGCGCGTTTGGAGAGCGTGGGGTGAGAAGGAGTTGAAAGGTGGCCTCCCAGAGTTCCCCATGGGCCCCCCCGGACCCTGACGGGGGTTCCCTGGGCTCTCGGGCCCTGACGGGGAGTCTTTCAGTAGGAGAAGCCGCGGCTCAACCTTGTGCCCGGCCCTCGGACCCCACAAACAAGAGGGGGCCTGGCCGCGGGGCTGAGGGGCCCTGGTGCGCTCCTTCCGCCCCGGACTCCTCGGGCGGCCCCATGGCCGCGGCCCGAGTGGACCGGGCTGGGCAGGACCACAGTAGAGGACTGAAGTGCAGAGCCGGCAGTGTGGGACAGACCCGCGCGGGTCGGGGCGGGCGACAGGGAAGCTGCCGCCGGGGAAGCGCAGCTGCCGGGCGCTGGCCGGAAGCGCCCATCGGGAGGCGGAAGTGGGTTGCGGCGGCGCTGTTGGGTGTCTGCTGTGGCACCTGTGCTGTGCAGTCCCCTCAGATGCCTCTCCGCCGGGATCTTCAGGAGCGTGGAGAACGAGTCTGTCAGGACAGGGACTCCTGTGTGTAAAGGCCAGACGATTCGGACTGGTTTGCGGTATTGGTATTCTGATGGGCGCATGCGTGCCCCGCGCTCTTCAGTGTGGTTCTTGTCCGGCCAACAAACGTGACCTCCCTGTGCTCCCGCGCCCCTTTTCATGATCAGCATCCATCCTATCTACCCTAACCTGAAAATGTGACTCAGTACATAAGGTAAGGGGCAGCTTGGGGCTCAAGACATCACTGAAGGGCTGACATTTTGTTCCAGAGACAATAGGTTGAGAGTGGATTTGAACGGAAACCAAGGGCCCCAAATCCGAGTCTATTAAATACCTTCTCTCCCAGTCCCTCTTCCCTTTCCCTCTTAGTCCTAAATTAGGTGTATTTGATTTTCATTACATAATTGTCGTCACATCTAATAGGAATTTCTATGTGACTTGTGAGGTCAGTCTCAAGGTTTTATATTCCAACTTTATTTTCTCAAGTCTATGCTAATAATAGCTCAGATTTTTAAACAATTTTATATTAGTATGACTTTTTTTTAAGATTTATTTATTCATATAGAACTGGGGTACAGGCCAGAGATGCGGAGGGTGAGAGGACTCACCAGAGACAGAGCGGGGAGCAGAACAGGCAGATCAACTAAGTACACTGCTGAGGGGAGCAGCGGGCGGGTCAGGAGAGGTCTGCCACGCCATGTGGACTCCTCCGGGGCAGGAGGGGATCGAACTCATGCGGAAGTGGCTTAAGCTTCATAGTGCAGTGCTTTAACCCGCTGTGCCACCAGGGAGGGCCCTAATATGACTTTTTAAAAGACTTATTTATACATACAAGAACTGGGGTATGGAGGTGAGAGGATTCACCCGAGAGAGTGGGACAGAACAAACATATTGACTGAAATACACTGCTGAGGGGAGCAGTGGGTTAGACCTGAGAGGTCTGCCTCACTATGTGTGGATCAGCTTCCTGGTGCTACAGATTGAGCTCATGCTACAGTGGCTGTAGATAGCTTTGTAGTGCTGCACCTTAACCCCTTGTGCCAGCAGGGAGGGGCCCTACTATGACATTCTTAAGCTAATGTGTTAGTATTAGGCTCCTTCCCATAATCCTCGGGAGGGAAATCAAAAGTCCTTGGTTCTGCTTTCATTTGAAGTCAGTAGGTCCTAAAGTTCTGCTCTGAAACTTAGGAATGGACTAAAATCTAATCAGGTACATATATGTTAATTCCACAGAATGTTGCTTTTCATAAATGCATTCCTTTGCTCTTATTTTCACAGGAAGAAAAAAATGTCACAAAAGCAGATGAAGGAAGCTTTTGTCAGTAACCTCAATGGAACCAGTGTACTGGAAATCATCCAGGGCTTGTGTTTGCCTGCACTGTGTATCCTCTTCCGAGGGCTCCTGATCATTCTTTCACAGTACTTATGTTTTTCACATACCTGGAGAACTCGATTCTTTATTGACTTTGTTGTCCTGATAGTGCCTATGGTGGCTACTTTGACCATTTTGTCTTCATTTGTCCTCTTTGAGCACCTTGCCATAATTATCTTTGGGACAGGGCTGCTCTATCATATATATTGCAGGAGGACTTACTCTGCCAGAATGCCTCTCCGGAAGATCCTTGAAAAATTCTCAAAAATCAGCCTAGAATCAGAATACATTCCAGCCGTCTCCTGCTTCCGTGTAATTAATAGTACATTCACTGCTATTGCCATTTTAGCTGTGGACTTCCCAATTTTTCCCAGAAGATTTGCCAAAACTGAGCTCTATGGAACAGGAGCAATGGATTTTGGAGTGGGTGGCTTTGTTTTTGGAACTGCAATGGTTTGTCCAGAGGTTAGGAGAAAATATACAAAAGGGTTCACATTTAACTATTTTATAAAGTCACTGTACTCTGTTTGGCCATTAATCATCCTAGGAATAGGACGATCAGTGATTATAAAATCCATAGACTATCAGGAACATTTAACTGAGTATGGAGTGCACTGGAATTTTTTCTTTACCTTAATAGTTGTGAAATTGGTAACATCACTGCTTTTGATTCTTTTTCCCTTAAATAAATCCTGGATTGTGGCCATTGGCATTAGTGTATTATATCAGTTAGCCCTTGATTTTACTCCACTGAAAAAGTTACTTTTATATGGTACTGATGGCAGTGGCACAAGGGTTGGTTTGTTAAATGCCAACCGAGAAGGAATCATTTCTACCGTGGGGTATGTGGCAGTACATATGGCTGGTGTGCAGACAGGTTTATATGTGCTTAAGAAAAGATCATGTATCAAAGACTTGATAAAAGTAGCATCTCATATACTACTGATAGCTATTAGCCTTTTCATAGCTCTTTACATAGTTCAGGTAAACATAGAAGTAGTGTCTCGAAGAATGGCCAATTTAGCCTTTTGTATTTGGATAATTGCTTCTAGCCTCATCCTCCTTAGTACTTTATTATTAGGTGATATAATTTTGAATTTTGCCAAATTTCTAATAAAAGGAGCTCTAGTCCCATGTTCTTGGGATCTTATCCAGTCACCAGTAATAAATAAGCGTTCAGAGTCACCAGTTTCTGAAGCGGAAATTAAGAAACCCAGTCTTTGTTTAATCACAGCTATTAACAGAAACCAGCTAGTTTTTTTCTTACTATCAAATATAGCCACTGGCCTGATTAACCTGTTGATGGATACATTGCAGAGCAGTTCCTTGTGGGCCTTATTTGTGCTCAATCTCTATATGTTTACCAACTGCTTAATTATATATGTGTTACACTTGCAAGATAAGACGATAAAATTTTGGTAAGCAATAGGGGTAGGCTAGATCTGTGAGCAGTAACTATTGTATTGAGGAAGAATAAATCTTAAGTGTGAAAAAGATGTGCTGTTGGCAGTCCAGTGTTAACTAAATTACAAAATTAAAATGAGCTTTTAATCTTTTATAATAGTGGTGATGCTTACTATTTGAATGTATTTCAACACTTACATAAAACCAATACCAAAGAAACAAAACCTTGCTATTTGTTAGAATATTTATTAAATTTCACTATTTTAAATAAATTGGTTAGAGTTGTGACAATGGAAGGTGGGGTGGATTTTTTAACTTCCCATCTTATATCATTTATACCAGCCTATGTTTTTTATCATTTGTATTACTATTATTATAAAGTTGACATTAAAATATCTCAGTGTTAGTTGTGGAATTGTCAGTATCCTTTATTGCTCAATTTTAATCTCCAAACTTAAAAAGCTTAAGAAACCAAATGTGTAAAATCAAATACTTTAAGTCAGAAAATAGTTAAATGTTCCAAAGAACAGACTGTTGTGATATCTTTACATGCCTAATAGTCATGAAAGAATAGCTTTGTTTTAGGGATATTTTTGTGGGGGGAGTGAGGGAAGCTGCTCTGTGCTAGGGATGATAAGGAAAAGTTTCCTGATATATTGGAGCTTTCAGTCTAGAGAGGTGGTAGAAACAGACATAAAATTACAACTATAAACTGTTAAGTCATGAAGTCAGGTTGTCAGTAGTATGAAGAACTGACCTGGTAGAGTCAAAGTTTTCCCCATAGGGGTTTTGTTTGTCTTTTACAGCTAAAGGTAACGGATGATGTAAGTTTGCATTGGGAGTGGGAGACTGGTTCTGATGAAGGAGGGGACAAATAGCAGAAAGCATTCTAGGGAGGAATGACTCCCTCAGGAAAGGTCCTAAATTAGATGGAACCTAGCATATTTTAGAACTGAAAGACAGCCAGAGCTCAGAAGAAAAAGGGTTATGACCTGGAGAGGAAGGCTACCCTCATTTCCCATGTTCAGGGAAAAGAACCAGTAAGAAAGTCATCATTTAATAAAACTATGTCTATTTGCAAAGTTTAATACCCTCTGTGAACTCAAGTAAGTAAAGAACTATGCAGACCTTTGAACCCACTGTTCAAAATCTAAGATTTAAAAAACACAAAATTCTAAGTTCTCAGGTCTAAAGTTCCCTGTAAATTATTTAAATTGGGTGAAGAAAATTTAAATATGCCTTTATTCTGTTCTACTTTCAAGTGGAAACTGGATTATTGCAGAAATAGATGGGTCAGATATTCAAGTTAGTTTTGTATTTGGCAAGTAATTTGGATTATTTACGTAGTGAGGAGGGTGCCTCCTGACATGTGCTAGATTTGCTGTTAGTGTTAGTTGCCTCTAAATTAGTTCAAAATTTATATTCCCTAATTTATTAAAGATTACTATGCTACTTGTTATATTGATGATGGTTAACTTTTTATGTGACATTTTGTTTGCTATTTTTGGAGTTTTATTACTTAAAGGAATCCACCTCCCCTTTAAAGAAATTAGTGTTGAGAGGTAGTTATTTATCTTATAAAACAAAACCTGGATTATTTTTCTCTTCAGAAAGACTTCTGAAATTAAAACAATAAGATTATAGTATATAAATGAAGCATGATTAGGACAAGTGATTGGTTTTCCTGCTATGTCTGTGCTAAATTCCCACAACTTTATCTGTTCAAAGGGTTCAGAGGATGGCTTACAGGCTCTAACTATATTGTTCTCGTTTAAAACAACAGTAATTTGAAGTAAGTTATTTGATGACTTAATGAGCAGGTCTAACTGGTCTGCTGCTTTTTTATTTATGAATAATTTACTTCATCCTTTTCTACATCTTAAATGTCAGTTTATATCTCAGAACTACAGATGTTGAGCCCTAACTTATTTTTCTGAAGTGCCATTGTTATACAGTCTTGTTAGTATTTTGACAGTAGAGGCTTTCTCACTCAGGTTAGTCCGTGTAGCACCCCCACCGCCAGAGGACCAATAGTCTTGACCAACCATTGCGCTCTCCTCCCCTCTTAGAATAACTTAAAAGAACAAAGTGGACTGTGTGTTTTTTCCACCTGATTGTTATGAAACTCATTTAGAGAAAGCTAATAAAAGTGCATTCATAAACACAGGAGTTACTTTAAAAAAAAAAAAGTCTTCTGACTTGATTCTAGTTTACAGAAGAGGATAAGAAAGATTTAGAGATCTCCACTGTAGCAGATCTAGGTTCTGGGGACACAACACAAAACAGTCTAGGACTTTAAGGGGCTTACATTTTAACTGTGGATATTACTTTCCCTTTTAAAAACTCCACTTGGGGAAACGGGTTTCTGTTTTTTAAAGATACCACAGATTTTCCCATCCTCAGCTCATGAAAACTTACAGATGCTCATATTTGGACAACTGTGGTACATGGTCATTTAAATAACATTCTGCTGTTGATTTTATTACCCCATAAAGCGTGATTATTACAATGAAAACAGGTGCTTTAATTACTAACTTTTAAGTATCAATTTTTGAGGACAGGAGGGGAAAGAGAACATAATTTGATCTAGGATCTTATCCTATTTATAATCCTCAGAAAGTAACACATTCCCAAGACTTAAATTGTATAAAATTATAAAGTGGGGACATCTATCACATCTCAATAGCTTTGTGTTTAGAAGGTGATTGTTTTTGTTTTGTATCAGTGTCCATTATATCCTATAAAAACATTCCATGAGTTTATGTATAGTCTAGGAAGATAATATAAAGTCAGTATTCATTTTTTTAAGCCTAACTAACTTGGAGGACAGTCATATTTTACTTATACCTGAGTTTTACAGTTGGCTAGAAAAAAAGATATTTTGCTAATGTTTTATCCCATCTCCATCATCCCATAACTACTCTTTTAAGTATCAGTGAAGTATCCTCTTCCATTACTTTCTGTCTCTTGAACGTTCAAGTCTTCAACCTTGCCTTTGACAATGTTAATTATCAAAATTTAAAAAGAGCAACAACTGGAGGTAACAACTAGAGGTAAGTTCTCTATAGACAATGGTGGACATTGTCTGTTGTATTACTGTTTATAGCTGAACATTGGCCAATAGTGAAAATAAAAATAAGTGCCTTCTCAGTGGACCTAAAAGACAAATCCAAACCAGGGAAATTATTACAGCTGGAGAATGCTGTGGTCTTCTAATTTCATTATTATTACTTTTTTTAAAGAATGACTTATTTATGCATATAGAACTGGGGTATAGGCCAGAGGTGCAGGGGCATTGAGAGGATTCACCAGAGACAGAGTGCGTAGCAGAACAGGCAGATCAACAAAGTACACTGCTGAGGGGAGCAAGAGGCGAGGCAGGAGAGATCTGCTGAGCCATGTGGGTCACCTCCCCAGCTGAGGATGGAAGGCAAATTGAAGTGGCTGTGACTGGCTGGCTTCGAAGTGCTACGCTTTCACCGGCTGCACCACCAGGGAGAGCACTTTATTTGGGTTTTAGTGCTTTTTCTAACTTAGATTAAATCCAGGTTGAATGCTCTGTTCTTGGCTACTCAGAGTGTGTGCTCAGTAATAAAGTTGTTAAAAATAACACCTATCTATTGGCTTGTCATTTTCGATGGTCTTTGCTAATCACAAAACAAAGGAAGTTTAAAAGGTTCTAGAGAAGGTACATTGATAGCATCTTTACAGGAGGATCACCTTTAGATTGTAAAAGCCACAGTATTCTTTTTTAGTGTTTTTTTTTTGGTTTTTTTTTTTAAAGATTTATTTATTTATGCTTACAGAACTGGGGTACAGGCCAGAGATATGGTGTGAGAAGATTCACCAGAGACAGAGGGGGGAGCAGAACAGGTGAATCTATTGAAATACACTGCTGAGGGGAGCAGCGGGTGGATCAGGAGGGGTCTGCTGCCCCATGTGGGTCAGCTCCCTGGCTGGGGATCGAACTCATACTGGAGCTCTTCTTTTAATGTGTTTTTAATATAAAATACAAGTCTCTAAAATTTAATGTTCAGAGTTTCACTCTACTCAACCGGTCAGAAGTTGCATGCACATCCTACATGCCTACTGGATTTAAGCAAATGGTTACATTGTTCTGCTATACTCACATGGCCGAAAGACATACTTACTTACTCGATAAACACACCTTTGAGACTGAACAATGGTTCTTCCATTTTATTATGTCACCCATCCTGACAGTGACCACACAATGTCTGAAGTCAGCATGGCTAGGGGTGCACTATGGAGTATCTGTTGTGAATCTTCACGTTATGACCCCACTGCCAGTATCAGGGCTGTAGCCTTTCCCTCCAGGAACTAGAGATCTACCCTTAAAATCGCCAAGACTTTCATAGGCAAAATACTTCCCAATAGCCATTCTGGCTTCACAACAGGCCTTCTCCAAAGCCTTCAAGGTAGGAACTGAATACCTGGTGGCCGGCAGAGTGTAGACGATTTGTCTTGACAGCAGCTGTTTCTCCGGAGGGCAGGAGGCAAGGGCCTTTGGCCAGTAGTAGTACTTTGCCCAGGAGAAACGGTGTTCTGTCTGAAACCCAGTTAATGTTAACCCAGACCAAGAAGCTTCTCGGGTCTGGACACCCGTAGGTCGCTCTCTACGTGTTCTTTTGTCTCTAGTGTAACGGCGACATCAGCGACAGCGCGGTCGGCACCAATTTTCGGCCCCCTCGGCGGGGACCCGAAGCAGTGCGTCTGGGAAGCAGTGGTGCGGCTGGCTACCGGTGGAGCTGCGAAAGCGGCGTCGAGTGCCCGGAGCCAAGTCCAGAGTTTGTCTCTCACCCCCCAGATGCTCAGCTCCCCTCTCTCACTGGGCCGTTTCACTTTCACTGACTCGAAATCCTCCGCTCCTCACCACTTACCCCAGCCCTCACCCGGCCTCGACCCTCGGGGCGGCCCTGAGCGAGCCCGGTTCGGCTCGGCTTCCCTCAGCCCGCCGCCCTCGGGAGAGCGGCTCCCAGGCCCGCGCGGCGGGGAACTGGGTTTGGGGCTGACTCACTCCCGCCTGGAGGCCTGCTTCAGATAGATTTGAGCAGCCAGACTCGGGGACTGCGCCCGCCACGCGTTGGGCTTTGCCGGGGAAGAACCCCGCCCCAGCACCCCCTCCGCCCGGATTTCGAAAGCGGAGACCCGGGAGAGGCCGACCACAGTCTCGCGAGAGGAGGCGGGGCCCCACCCGGCGTTCTCGGCCCCTCCCTGCCCCCCCCTCCCCACGTCCCCCGCCCTCCCTCCCCCACTCCCCGTGGCGCGAGCGGCTGACTGAGTCTGGAGAGGAAACGGCATTCGGAGCCGCGCTCCCGCCCAGGCCGGCCCTGACGCGGGCCTCGTCAGCCGGTAACGGGGAGCAGAGGTGGGGGTCAGGGAGGCGACCACGAAAACGGTGAAGGTCAGAACCCAGAGGCCTCCTCCGAGAAGGGTGAGGAAGGGGCGTGTGCCTCCCTCCCTCTCCCCCTTGGACTCCGCAGAGCTGAGGCGGGGTCGACCCCTCCCAGGGGCGGGATCGCGCTGGGCAACTGCAGCCCTGGGGACTGACTGGGCGGGGCGCGCCTAGGAAGGGGTTGAAGGGGTCAGCTAAGGCTGAAGGCCCCCAAGCGGGGAGCGGACTGCGGAGTTGAGGTCGGGGTGGGGTCCCAGAGCCGAGAATCCGGTGACGGCTGGGGAAACCCCGAGGCCGCGTCCCTTCCGCCACTCCTGTGGACCCTGACTGGAGGCCGACGGGTGGGGGTGGGGTGAGCGCGGCGCGAGGGGGCGGGTCCCGGCGCGGCTGGGCGCTGATTGGCTGAGTGCGTGTGGAATCGGGTGATGGGAAACGCAGCCTGACTCTCCTTTCCCTCCTGCTCCTCTCCCTCCCCCGTGGCGAAAGTGCTGCGCGGCGGCGGGTGCTTACGCTCGCGGGGTTTGGCTGTTGCAGGCAGGAGCAGGGAGGAGGCGGCAGCGACAGCGGCAGGAGCAGCAGCGGCGGCGGCAGCTGGGAGGAGGTGGTGACGGTGGCAACGGCAGCGTCGGGGACGATGGCGCGACTGGTGGCAGTGTGCAGGGACGGGGAGGAGGAGTTCCCCTTCGAGAGGAGGCAGATTCCCCTCTACATAGACGACACCCTCACGGTGAGCGGGCCGGGCCGGGCTCGCCGCTCCCCTGGCAGCTGTTTCCCCTCCTCCCCCTCCCCCAGGCCGAGCGCTGCGCACTGGAGAAAGAGTGTGTTGCAACTCCTAGGCGAGGCCTTTTCTCGGCAGGCCCCACAAACTCGCCTCCGCCGTGGGTCTGTCGGCAGCGTCCGCGAGCCCCAAGCCGAGCGCTCCGTCCGCACCTGGAGCCCGGCTCCCCGGGCTTTCCCTTCGGAGCCGGCTTCCTTCACCTTTCCCCTCTGGAGGCGACGCCGGTGCCAAAGCACGCGTCTCGCCTCGGAGAGGGGTGGAAGGATCGCGGGTGTTCAGGCCTATCCCTCACAGAAGCCGCCTCCCCTCGGGGAGGCTCGGTTATCGGGAAATGTCGCAGCTGCACTCTGAGCTTTGTATTTCCCATCTTGCTGGGATAGCTCTCAGTGCGTGCGTCTAATTACTGAGGGCAGCATGACATGCTCCTGCACACGAAGATGCCACCAACTGAATTGATTTCGCTCGGCTCCTATTGCCTAGTACATTAAAACTCTCGGAAACGATGGTGTTGCGAGACCATGACTCTTCAAAATGGGCTTTCTTGGCATTAGTTGTTCTCTAGTTTACAAGTAAGCTCTTTTTCTGCGAGGAAGCAAAAGTAGTGAAGGTGTAAGAGTGTCACATTCTGTATTGAATGTGTAAGTGTCACGAGAAGTTGACGGCTCATCTTGTTCCTTTCTGGAGTTGGTGGTAATAAAGCATTAGCGACCCTCTGCCCTGTGTTGCTGTACTATTTTCTTTATAAAGGAAATGGCAGATATTTGAACTGAATCTGAACAGGAAATGAGTGCAATTGCTTGCCACTATTTTTTAAATGAAATGAGTCCTGAATGTCTTCTGAGATTGCCTTTTGATGCTGCTGTTGAAGCTTTGGCTTCTACAGTTGTCTTTCAGTAAGGTGTAACTGCTTCTCTTCATCCTGTCACCTTTGGCTTTTTATTTTTTAAAGGCAGCTGAGGTGTTTTATTCCTGAATTTTTTGGGTTAATGCTGAACTTTTTTTTTTCCAAATTTTATATAAAATGCAAGTCATTGTAGAGATGCCACTGAATGCCTTTCTATTTCCGAGTCTCAATTAAGACTTGATTGAGTTGCAGCAATTTAAAAAGGTTTAGGAGAGCTATTGAATGACATAATTTGTTAGAACTTTTTGACTGAAAGCAACCATAATTACACAAGTGCATTTTTTTTTCTCCCATGGAAAAAGAATGATATGGCCTAACATAAGGCAAATACAATTTGTGTTGATGCTTTAGGGAGTATCTGTATGCCTTGGTTATGATTTCTGCACTTTTTGCATTAAAAGTATAATGCAATTTGTATTTTAAGTAGATAAAACTAACACTGATCAAATTAAATCATGCATTTCTCAACTTTAATACTGATATGAGTTCATTTGTTGCTTGCTTCTCTCCCTTTCCAACATAAAAACTTTTCTAGAGCATATAATTTGGTATTCCCCTTTTACTGTTCCCAGATACCTTTGAAGTTAAGAAATAGAATCCTGTGGATTGGACATACATTACTTAAAACAGGGAAAATTAATGCAAACTTGACAGTTTACAAAATTTAAACAGACTGATTTTTCTCCCACATTACCTACCTTTAGTATGAATACAGTGTTGATACATCTGTCATTTAGTACCTTAAAAATCGCCAATTTAGGGGGTATTTTTATATTTTTTTTGTGCAACGTTACCAAAGGTTTCCATAGAAAAATAACCTTGCAGGGTATTTATTACTGTACTTATTTTCCCAGAGAAGTTGGGATCAGACTGAGCTTGATGGTTGAGTTCTGTTTTTATTGTATTGTAGACTTGTGACTAAGGTTAATAAAGTTTAGACATTTTAATTTAAAATACCTCAAAATAGCATTTTATTTTAGGAAAAGGTACCATTTTTACTTGGGAAAAGCCTTGGAACTATTGCTTTTGTCTTAAAACCTCTGCAAGGTCATTAATACTGACCAGTGGAAATTCTAGAGTGCATCATATTTAGGGAAGCAAGTTTCTTTTAGAACTACCCTACCAGATGCCACTTAAATGAACAGAACAAACACCTGTTGAAGTAGAGGGAAGAAAGACGCTTGTAGCAGTTCTAGACTAGTTTACTGATAGTTTGATGGCACTGTATCCTTGAAGTTAACTTTTGGTTTGGGCTTTGTTCTTGGGGTCCACAGATAATGTAGGAAAGAAACATTGTTTGGTTATTTGGAGTAGTCTGAGTTCAGTTTAGTTACAGCATTTATAGTTTATAATCAGTTACAAAATATTTACCATTTTAGTAACAGAAGCTGAAATTTCTAGCCTTAAATTAACAATTTGAAGTTGAATTTGTATAATGAAATTAAGAAACTGAAGAAGTAGCCACATCTTTTATGTGGTATGTTTTATCCATGCTTAAAGGACTCATGGGTAGTTTAGTGGTTTTAATGAATACTTGAGTCCAGTGCTTATGTAGGAAATACGAGAAAATTGCAAATAAGCTGGTGGCACATTTAGCAAAGTGGTATGCTATATGGTCAAAATATATCTCAGTTAGAATCGTAAAAATAGCACATGGGTTATAAGATAATAAAACATCTTGAGAGATGTTTTTGAAAAAGTACATTATTTAAAGTGAGTTGTTTCATAAATAAAAAGAGGCAAAATACATTCTCATAAGGTAATCTTGAAAAATAACCACAAAACAAGTTCTCTTTAATCCTACTTCCCAAAGATAACTAATGTTATTTTAGCACTTGGTGTAATTCTAGTCATACACACACACACACGCACACACAGAGTTGAGATGTATTGTCTTTAATAACAACTAATGTTTTGCTTTTTTCCCCCACTAACTATAATGACATCATTTTCTTATTTTTAATTTAAGCATTTTTAGTAACTATATTTGGCATTGCTTAATTTAATCATTTTTCTTTGTTGAGCAAAGGGGATTCTAGTTTTTGCCATAAATAATGCATAAATCTTTGCATTACAGTATTTGTTATGCTTTGGAAGTACTGGATCAAAGTGTAAGAGCCTTTTATAAAATTCTTGATACATATTATCAAATTGCTGCAGTATTTCTGGAACATAGTTTACCCTCCTAATTCAATCTAATAAGGGTTTTTTTAATTGGGACTTTAGAAGATAATAAATGTTAGTATATCCACTTGGGGATTAGGTATTTGGTATTTGTGAAAAGTTTAGTATTTAATGTTTTCTTTCAACTCTTGAGTAACCATTAAATTTTATCAAAAATTATAAATGTTACCAAAAAGCTGCAAGGATGAAGGAGTAAATTAAAGGGACAATGCTTTTTAATAATGTAAACGAATATTGGTTGCAGCTTGTGAAAATGTACTAAAAACAAGTTATTTGTGGTCTGGAGAAACCAGAACAGGTACTTAAGAGTGAAAGTGGGTAATGGATTCAATAAAGTTTATAAAGCAGTAATTGCAGGACAATGACTCATTCTATTTTTAGCTAGCTTTGGACAGGCAACCTCATCATGAAGCTGAATTCTGTGAAACCACACCTGAAATACTTTACATGACTGTCTTCTTTGAGGTAACCTAGACTCTGAAGGCTCAGTCCAGGAAGTAGTTTTTAAAAATGGAAAAAATGGTACTACTTTCCTTCTTTGCCTTCCTTTTTCTTTTTACCCTTGTTAATATCAATATTGAGGAGCATATAGTGATTGACTAGGGGGAAAAAGATGAAATACCATTATCTTGAGAGTTTGAAAGGTAAGGACAGTCATTTATGTAAGTGCAAGGTTTCTAACCAAAGTGGTATAGAATAAATATAAGAGAAAATTTAATACTACTTAAGCTACTGATAGCCAAGAAACACAGTAATAGATCTGATTTTGACATCTGTAGTGGTTAGATACAAATGAAATGGTCTGAAGTGAGATTTTTTTAGCTTTTTAAATTTTAACCCTGTTACTGGTTTTTAAAAAGAATTCCTAAAGTAGGTATTAACCTATTTGTATATATGAATAACGTGTTTATTATATGTGATATATAAAACTGTATCACCTATGTATACATAGGTTACACGCACAATATATGTTCTATTACATATATCACATGAATACATGTTACACATGTGTACATGTCACATACATGTACTTTACATATATAGAAAAGGTTAGTTGACCTCAGTGTGTTAAATTTAGGGTATCATCTAAAAGCCAAACTGGAGAAACTTTGATTCTTTGCATGTTCATTAAGAGCTGGATTTTAGTATATAGGTGATTATTTTAATTTTTTCTGTGGTGGCAATTGATATGTGGTGAAATGGTGTATATTTTTATTAAGCATGTACAAATGCAAATCAAGATGTTGGTTGCTTAAATGGTGGATTCAGAATGAGCTTCATTGTTCTCTTGAGTTATATGGCTTTTAAGATTGTCCTGTACCTTTTTTATGACTTGCCAATTAAATTTCTTTTTTTTTCTTTAAGTTTTATTTATTTATACAGAACTGGGGTACAGGACAGAGGTGCAGGCAGTGAGGATTCACCAGAGATAGAGTGGGAAACAGAACAGGCAGATCTACTGAAATATACTGATGAAGGGAGTGGCGGGTGAGACAAGAGAGGTCTGCCTCACCATGTGGGTCACCTCCCTGGCTGGGGATAGAACTTGTGCTGCAGTGGCTGTGGATAGCTTCATAGTGCTGTGTTTTAACCTGTTGTGCCATCAGGGAGGGCCCTTGACACTTAAATTTCTTTGTGTTTTAAGCACTGTAGTGGTTTCAGAAAACATTTTTTTTTTTTTTAAGATTTATTTATCCATACAAGAACTGGGGTGCAGGCCAAGAGGAGTGGAGAGGTGAGAGGATTCACCAGAGACAGAGTGGGGAACAGAACTTGCAGATCTACTGAAATATACTGCTGAAGGGAGCATCCAGTGAGACAGGAGAGGTCTGCCACGCCATTTGGGTCACCTCCCTGGCTGGGGATAGAGCTCGTGCTGTGGCTGTGGATAGCTTCACTGTGCTGCAATTTAACCAGTTGTGCCACCAGGGAGGGCTTGAAAAGTTAAGTACTCTTAACTTTTTATTCACTTAATGTCTTTTCTTGGGCCTTTATTTCTAATAAGAATTTACTTGTTTTTAAACTTTTTTTTTTTTAAAGATTTATTTATTTGTGCATACAGAACTGGGGTACAGGTCAGAGGTGCAGGGGCGGCGAGAAGACTCACCAGAGACAGAGAGGAGAGCAGAACAGGCCAACTGATGAAGTACATTGCTGAGGGGACCAGTGGGCGGGTCAGGAGAGGTCTGCTGCACCATGTGGGTCACCTCCAGGCAGACGGGGATTGAACTCATGCAGAAGTGGCTTCAGCTTCATGCGGAAGTGGCTTCAGCTTCTCAGTGCTGTGCTTTAACCTGCTGCGCCACCAGGGAGGGCCCTGTTTATAAACTTTTAAGTAGGTTGTTAAATATAATAAATACAGTGAACACTATGGCTCATTAGATATTTTGCTTATTGTCCTCCTCACTATTTAGAGCTACATTATTAAAGTAGCAACTAACTTTACTTTGTATTGGTGAAGTTAATATATAAAAGTGTTGGGGACCCTCCCTGGTGACGCAGCGGGTTAAAGCACAGCACTGAGAAGCTTAAGCCACTTCCGTGTGAGTTCGATCCCCGCCTGCCCCGGAGGAGATCCACATGGTGTGACAGACCTCTCCTGACTTGCCCGCTGCTCCCCTCAGCAGTGTACTTCGTCTACCTGCCTGTTCTGCTCCCCGCTCTGTCTCTGGTGAATCCTGTCACCCAACGCATCTCTGGCCTGTACCCCAGTTCTGCATGAGGAAATAAATCTTTAAAAAAAAAAAGTGTTGGGTCCTCCCTAGTGGTGCAACCAGTTAAAGCACAGCTATCCACAGCCACTGCTGCACTAGTTCAATCCCCAGCCCTGGAGGTGATCTGCATGGCTGCCGGATCTCTCCTAACCTGCCCCCTGCTCCCCTCAGCACTGTGTTTCAGTACATGTGCCTGTTCTGCTCCCCACTTTGACTCTGGTGAAACCTCTCACACCTTTAACCTGTATCCCAGTTCTTGTATGCATAAATAAATTTAAAAACGTGTATATAAAAAGTGTTTAGAACAATGCCTACTATACATGAAGTTGCATTAAATAGTTTTATTACCCACCACCACCTCCCTTTGGAGATAACAAGACTATGAAAGGGAAATTCAGGGAAACTAGAGGGCAGTTCATAAAATTGAAGGTCAAATGAAGTTAAATCTTGAAGCTGTAAGATTTGTGTGTGTGTGTGTGTGTGTGTATATGTGTGTGTGTATATATATACACGCACACATGTATATATATACATATATATATATGAAAAGAAACCTTCAGAAAGTAAAAGCTGTTGAGGTAGAAGCATATCTCTGAACATAATATAATGAATACAGAGTTGGAAACAGTATTATTTCCTCTGGTAATAATATGTGCATTGTAATAACTTTGGGAAAGATAGAAACATTATCTAGAGATAGCTACATCTAATATGTTACATATTTTCTTTTTCTTTAAGATAAAATATACATTAAAAATATGAGTAATATGTACATACAGTTTTGGTTCTGGGAAATACAGTAAATCCTCTGGATGTGGAGTTGGTATTTGCATCATTGTCCATTACCAGTATCCACTAGTTTTCCTACTTTCATATACCTAGTATTCCCCCTTTGAGATAAAGATTTATATTTAGTGCATATATTTGCTTTATTTTTCCAGTCTTCAGCTAATGTTAGAATAAGTGTACTTATTGAGGCTTTTTTCCTAATGTGGGGGTAAAGAATGGTTATCTCCAATAAACAGGTCCTTGTGTGTTGTTTGGTGAAGGGAGGGAATCTATTTTCTTTGTTTTAGTTTTTATCATAGTTTATTTTTACATCATTTTGTGACTTTTCCCAATCTCAGTTGTAATCCCCATGTGTTTCCCATCACCAATTCACCATAGTGAATCATAGTTCCATGCACTCCCTTCCTCCCCTCCCCGCCCCCACAATTTTTAATTCCATTACCCACTCCACACCTGTAAAATGTCTCTGGTATATAGTTGTTCACTACCGCACCCCCACCCCCCAGCCTTTTATGTTTCTGCTATGTGTGAAACCATCTGGTATTTTTCTTTTTCTTTGTGGATTATTTCACTAAGCATGATCCCTTCCAGCTCCATCCATGTTGCTGCAAAAGGCATGGGTTCATCTTTTTGATTGCTAAATAGTATTTCATTGTATATATGTACCACATCTTTTTAATCCAGTCATCTACTTTTGGGCATTTGTGTTGATTCCATGTCTTTCCTATTGTAAATAGAGCAGCAGTAAACATGGGGGTTGCAGGTGTCTTTTTTATAATCAAGTGTTTTGGTGTCATTTGGGTAGACCTAGGAAACCTCCAAACAGCTTTCCATAGTGGTTGTACTAATTTGCATTCCGACCAGCAGTGCAGGAGAGTAGGGAGGGAATCTTTTTTAGGTCATATTCCTCTAGATGGGTGTTTGTGTTTTTGCTCCCAGTTATTATTATTTTTAATCCTGAGTTTACAGTTCAGGTGTTGAAATTTAGAATCTTTGTGATCTGAATATAGAAGCTTTTGTCCCAGCATAATGTTTGATGCCTTTAACAATGTTTTAGTTAAGACAAAGTGTGTTAACTTTATTTGCAGGTATATTTCTTTTTTAATATCTCTAAAATATATATATATATATATACACTAATAATATAGTTTATTTTTACATCATTTTGTGTCTTTTTTCATCTCAGTTGTAATCCCTGTGGGTTTCCCATCACCACATCGCCCGTGTGCCATCACCATAGTGACATCTTATATATATATATATTTTTTAAAGGTTTACTTATGCATAAAATAAAATATATATACTTATAATATATATATATATATTTTAAAGATTTATTTATGCACACAGTACTGGGGTACAGGCTAGAGTTGCAGGGGCAGTGAGAGCTTCACCAGAGACAATGGGGAGCAGAACAGGCTGACTATTAAGTACACTGCTGAGGAGCGTAGCGGGTGGGTCAGGAGCGGTCTGCTGCACCATGTGGATCACCTTTGGGGTGGGGATCGAACTCATGCTGAAGTGGCTTTATCTTCTTAGTGTTGTGCTTTAACCCGCTGCACCTCCAGGGAAGGCCCGACATCTTATATTTTTAATATCTCTTATCTAGTGGTATATATCTTTGATTCTTCTTAAAATCATTGATGTCACAGATAAGTGAAATGTGTTAATTACTAATTCCCTATCATCTGACATCTGAAACATCCTTAAACTTTACATCCTTATTCTTCTAGTAGTGGATTTTGATAACGGAATTAAATTCAGTGTATCCTTTCTGTTCATAAGTAGAACAAAAGTTACTATGTGTTCAGGTACTGTTCTGAGTATTTCATCTATATAGTCATTTATATTCTGATATTTATCGTATTCCATATTAGACAGGATAACAAACTATCAGGATACTTAGTGTAAAATAATCAGATTATTTTACTTATAAAATGCTGACATTGGCTATTGCAGCAAACATTTAAATGTAACCTTCACATCCAACTATGTGAGATAGAGATTAAAATTATTTAATCTCATTTTACAAATGAGGAAACTGAAAATCAAATTGGTCAAATAATATGCCCAGTATTAAGGCACAGATTTTGAGTGGTAGAGCAGATATTTGAGCTCATGTCTGCCTGAATTCAATATCTTTGGTCCTAGTAACTGCCATTTCTGACTTTAGAAACTTATCTAACCTGGATTTTATAGCATTTTTGAACAGGATGTGGAACAGGATGGGCTAATCTGGCTTTTTTTTTTTTTAAAGATTTATTTATTTATTCATACAGAACTGGGGTACAGGCCAGAGCGGAGGGTGAGAGGATTCACCAGAGACAGAGTGGGGAACAGAACAGGCAGATCGACAAAGTACACTGCTGAGGGGAGCAGCGGGCGGGTCAGGAGAGGTCTGCCGCGCCATGTGGTCACCTCCGGGGCAGGCGGGGATCGAACTCATGAGGAAGTGGCCCAAGCTTCTCAGTGCTGCGCTTTAACCCGATGCGCCACCAGGGAGGGCCTAATCTGGTTTTTTTAATGAATGATTTTTGTCTTAAGAATTCATAAAATAAGCTGTTGCAAATGTTCAAAGAAAACAAAATAATTGATTTTTATTCTTTTGCATATTTAAGATGGTGATGGAATTTCCTGACAATGTGTTAAATCTCGATGGGCATCAAAATAATGGTACACAGTTAAAGCAGTTCATTCAGGTAATAGTTTTGGAAATTAGTGTTTTAAATGGTGTATGTGTGTGTGTGTGTGTGTGCATGTCTGCCTGTGTGTGCATGTACATTTTAAAGTAATTTCAAATTTTAATTTATATCGTATGTAACATGCAACTATAAGTTTTTGTTTTACCTAAGCTCTAGGTCTTAAGATTTTATTGAAATTGTTTTCTTTCACTATTGCTCTAAAATGTATGTATGTATCTGTCAAGCAAGAGGGATTTTGATGGTATTTTGTTAACATTTTATAGGTCCATAAAACTAATTTCAGGCCATCTTTTAAAGATTTCACCAGGCCATACTTTTTCTTAAAAATAGGTGTTAGATATACAGCCTTTTTTTTGAGAGTGCATTGATTTTCTTTTTGTAATTATTTTTATTCCAAGTTAAAAAAAAAAAATCTTGTGTTGCCAATTTAAATTATTTTTATTCTTAAGCAGTATGATACTTTATATAATCAAGGTAATGAGTGATCAGTTACTTAAATTCTATTTCTACTTTTGGAGAAAATGTAAGTGAAAATTTAATGGTAAATATAAAAAAATCCTTTTCAGAGGTTATCTTTTACATCTGGCTTTGCTAAGGCTGGAGGTATTGCTTGTAGTATAACTGTAACTCCATCAGTGTAGAAGTTAAAATTTATTAAAGTTTTTCCCATTTCTTTGTAGTTGTCGTTCTCAGACGTTTTCCTAACTTGTCATAACCAGTAGGTAACACTAATGCACCAATATTATTCTTTTTTTTAAACAGATAAAACAGGCCTTGTTCTCTCCCACTAATCCGTAAGACACCTTTATATAACTCTAGGTTGAGAATTGCTCCCTCTACATGACCACCATCCTAACTTGACTCCTATAATAAAAGCTGAGAAGATGTGATAAAGTTACATTGTGTTTTATTCTTTTAGTTTTAAACATTTTTTAAATCTTAAGTGAGAATACTATGTTTAATAGTCACTGAATAACCACTGTGTTTCCAAATGCAAGGCTTTTTTCCCCACAATGCCTGGGCATTTAGCCCTGTCATCTTAAGTAGAACTTTTTATATTCTAGATTCTGGAACAAGGTGAGAGGTTTGTGCAGCAAACTCATTATAACATGGACAAGGCTGGCTACCTTGCCTTTTTGATTCAGCTGCAGGTAGAGATCACAAGCTTGTCCCAGGTTGTATTTACTAGACAAGGGTAGGAAACAGAAGTAGTAGTAAAAGAGTAATATTATGTCTCTTCATTTTCTTCCCCTCTTTTTCTCAGCGACATAGTATGCTTAAGCAACAAGATCTGAGTATTGCCATGGTGGTGACATCACGTGAAGTCTTGAGTGCACTTTCTCAGCTTGTTCCATGTGTTGGTTGTCGTCGCAGTGTGGAACGCCTCTTTTCCCAGCTTGTAGAGTCTGGAAATCCTGCCCTTGAGCCCCTGACAGTGGGACCCAAGGGAGTCCTATCTGTAACTCGAAGCTGCATGACTGATGCAAAGAAGCTTTATACATTATTTTATGTACATGGGTAAGTATAATCAATTAGGAAAAAAATAAGTTTGCTAAATCTTTAAATTTGGTGATAATGGTAGCAGCTCTTTATGAATTTGGTCAGGTCAAAACTTGAGTCTATTAGATGACAATGACTGTAAATTTCTGTTTTTATGTGGGGAGAGGCAGGCAATGAGCAAATATATAGTTTGTTAGGTGTGTTCAGTTACATTGAAAACCCACTTAAGAAGAATTTTTTAAGAGAATTTTTAGGGAAGCCTTCACTGATAAAATGATACTCAATATAGAGTCTGGCGAAGTGAGTGAACAAACCATGTAGCTATTTGGGGGAAGGCAGAAAGAGCAATAAGTATAAAGGTTTAAAGTTTAATGTTGTCCCTGTTTTTTTTTTTTTTGAAGAACAGCAAAGAAACCATTGTGGTTTCTTTCCCTCTTTGAATGAAGGAAACTGTAAGAAAAGATGAGGTCAGAGGAATAACAAAAGGCCTAATTATGAAGTGCCTAGTAGGTCTTCCTGAGGTCTTTTTTTTTTTTTTTTTTTTAACTTTGAGTAAGATGGGAAGATTTGGGAGGGTGAGCAGAGCAGCCATGGGCTGACTTGAAGTTCAATTTACTGTGAACTCTATGTTGAGAATAAACTGAAGGGTAGTAAAGGGCAGAGAAGCAGGCTGTTTAACTATCCATGTGAGAGAGGATGGTGGCCACAGAGATAACAAGAAATTATTGTATCCTGGATATATTTTAATAAATGAATCGACAGGACTTCTGGATAGGTTGGATAGAAAGGGGGACATCAAAGGTGATTCTTAGATTTGTGATCTGAAGAAAGGACCAGTGGTTTCCATTGATTAAAATGAGTAAAACTGGAAGAAACAATTGTGCAGACCTCACTTTTGGATGTTAAGTTTGAGATACAATTGGGCATCCAAGTAGAGTTCAGAGTGATAAGGCCTAGAGATATAAATATGTATCATCAGCTTATATGTAGCAGAGTATGTAAGTGATAGTGAATGTTTATGTTAAATGTATATCATTTAAATTGATGAGATTAGACACGAGCACCACAAAATGAGTATAATAGGAAAAGAGAAGGGATTCAAACCCTGGGACTTTCTTATTTAGAGGTAGTAATAGAAACTTTGAATCTTTACTTGAAAAAAGAAACCTTGGGGTATTTTTGAATATCATAATAACAAAGTGATATATATTTTGAAAAGATCATTCTACTAGCTAAGTGAAGCCTACACTGTAAAGACAAAATATGGAAGGGAGGAGACCAGTCAGGCTATTAAAATTGACCAAACTAAAGAAAGAATTAGACAAGGGCAGAAATGGTAGATGTGCCAAGATATCATTTGATTTAGAATGTATTTGAAAATTAGAGTTGACACACTTTGCTGAGTGGTTGGATGTAGGATGTGAATAGTAGTGGTTTAGTAGTAATGATAGCATAAAATTTTTTGATGTCTCCTCATCAAGAATAGTGTATATTTAGATAATTTGTACAAGGGGAGGTAGTTGAGGTTTAAAGTCCATTATCAAATTGAGTATTAGGTACACTGCTACATAAAATAGTTATGCAGGGATGATGAGACAGATGCGATATAGGGGAAAGAGCTCCTTGAATAGAGCAGTTTTTTTCATCATTTCTTACTGACTGGACTGGGGATGGAATGGGGAGACTAGTGTACACTCTTTTGGGTTAGAATTTGATGAGAATTTTCAAAGTAAGTGAAATGTCTATAAAGCTTAAATATAATTTTCACTGTAAGACAGAGATTTTGAAAGGTCTAGAGAAAAATAAATACTAATCAAATCATTAATGTTTTACTTTAATCAGGTCCAAACTAAATGACATGATAGATGCTATTCCAAAAAGTAAAAAGAACAAGAGATGTCAGTTGCACTCCTTAGATACACACAAACCAAAACCTTTGGGGTAAGTATAATTGAATATCAAAATGCTTTGTTGTTGTTAAGATTGTAAATGTTAAACAAAAAATTGTAAATGTTGATCATATTTAATAAAAAAGCGCACATTGCTAATTTTATTTATATATAATTGGGTACATAGTAATGCAGCTTAAAATATGTATACTGGTTCTGTAGGCATTTTTGCATTGAAATTAATTAGGTATGCTTTTGTAAGTATTTTTTTTCTTATATTAAATATGTTTCAAAGAAAGGAAGTTGAGATCATTGTGGCACTTATGTAGCCACAGTGTTGTGATATCATTCTACATAATAGTCATAACATGTAAGTTATTCTTGTCTGTCTTGTCTCTACTAATAACTTATCAAGGTTTTTTTAAAGTCTTACATGAGTTATAGCAATGTGTATTCATGTAACTAATTTGCAGTTTTCTTGGTTACATGCTATAATGTCCAAGATGGCCCCTTGAATTTCTGCCTCCTTCTCCTAGCACAGTGTCATAGTTGTTCCCTACGAAACTGGTTGGGTGTGGTAAAGAGAAGTCAATGAATTTGAAGGGAATTTCACTTTAGAGAGAATAGTATGATGTAAACTGATGCTTAAGAAATTAACTTTTGTCAGTCAAATTTAACACCATTGTTGTATATAGACATTTTCCTTCCTGATACCTGGATGACCAGGTGGTGGCATTTTAATAGTCTATTAATAAGGCATCTCCCCCATACTCAGGAACAGATTTCTAAAATTTTATTATGAAAATGTTAAACACATAGAAAAATAGAAAGACCTTTTATATAAACACTTCTCCCCCACAAATACTTCACCCAGATTAGAAATTACTAAGAGTTGCCATATTTGTCTTCTTTCCATCTTTTTTTTTTTGCTGAGGTATTTTAAAGTAGGTCCAAGGCATCATATTATTTTGCTCCTACATATTTTCTCATGTATCTTTAAATATATGGACTTTAATAATAACAGTACCATTCTATAATCCCTAACAAAATTATAATCTAATATCCAGTTCTATTAAGATCTCTTTTTACATTGATCTGTTTGAATTCGGATCCAAGCAAGAGCCACACACTAGTGTGCTATCTACATGAGAGAGTACTTTGAAACTGGTAAAAGCTCTATATAGTATAAAGTGGTTATCTAAGGTTAAGTGTTTCATTCACCTGACTTATTAGTATCTCCTAGAAGTGTCCACTGAGATAATCTTGATGAGTAGATCTGTTGTTAGAAGCAGAATCCAGATCAGAATGGGTAGAAAAGTGAAGATTGGCAGTGTAATGTAATGGATTAAGCTGTGAGTGGAAAGTATGGCTGTGGAACAAGGAAGTGGAAGCACTTCTTTTCCAGAAAGATTAATTTTGAAAGCAGTTTGAAGCTGTTCTGTCCAGAGAGATTATGGATAAAGCTTGACTTCAGCTGCAGATTTTTAAAGTTTTTTTAGAATAAAAAAGTCATATTCTGATGATACAATAATCATTTCCCAGCTCTGATTTCACGAACCTTTTCCTCAATTGTGAAAAGTTTTTTTGAGTTTGAGAGTCAGTTTTAGGAGGGATTATGGGTCGTTAAAGCATAATCAGAGATAGAGGAACTCTGTAGGCGTTGAGAGTAGAAGGAACCAACATGGAAGGAGCGACTGGAGTTGAAGTTTTTGTTTAAAAAATAAGGGGCACTGACTGAACCCCTTGGCCTGGGCCTTTGGGAGTAAAGGAGCTGAATTGTATATGTGACCTTATATTGTGGGGAGGGGTTGAAAAAAATCTTTGTAGCCAGATAGAGAAGGTTAAGATTGAGATTTTTTTCATCTCAAGCACCCAAGGTAATGAGTTTCTAGTACTATAGTGAGACCTGCAGAAGAACAGGCAGGAGCCAGTTGTTCAGAATCATGAAAACTCAAGAATATAGGCACACATTGCTCTTAGAATGCACATCAACAACAAAGCAAAATGCATGACCAACACCACATTAAAGCCTGTGGGGGAGGGAGAGTCTGGGAAATTTTTAGTAAGTTTTACAAAATTATTTGTATTGTACTTAATAGTAACTTAGGTTGTGTAAAGTTTTCATGTTAGTACGATAACTTTAATTTAGTAAATGTAAAGTTTTATTTACTAAAATTAGATTAACTTGTGGCTTTCCCAGCATATAATATGTGAAGCTAAATAAGAGTTTTTTTGTTGTCATGGGCTAGCTGAAAATCATACTAAATAGATCAAAATTTGTTAGACTTTTCTTTGGGAGATCTGTATTTGTAAGTAAAAATATTTTATATTTTTCAGCCCTTTTAACCTTAAAATATTCAGATAGATTTGTTCATAAAATGTTTAGTACATTAACTAATTGTTACCTAGATAAATGTAAATGTTAAATTGTATCAGGGAAACTTAATGGTTGAATGAAAACTTTTTAATAAAAAGAGCACATTTAAATAATGTTTATTATGGTTAAGATAAATATATAATTACATACAAATTTGCAAGCTTATTTTATTAATATCTTAATATGTTAAAGAGTTCATAATTTAGACTATAGAAATAACTCATTCAGATTATGTCAGTATCACTAAGCTTTGTACTATACTGTACTACAGTGAAGGGAGCAGTAGCAGTGTCAGTTCAGAGAAGTTAAGTACAGATAAGAGAAGTAGTGAAGACCACAGGAAGGACAGCAAGTGTAGGATCATTTTCCATTATGGACCTTTCCAGGGAACAGCCAGGTAAAATCAAGCAATCCTTTACTTCGCTTTTTAATAATGTTTATCCTTATGTAGTTCTCCTTTTCACTAATATTTATTTCTTTCTGCAGAGGTTGTTGGATGGACGTATGGGAACTAATGTCCCAAGAATGCAGGGACGAAGTAGTTTTAATTGACTCTAGTTGTCTTTTAGAAACACTAGAAACATATCTTCGAAAACATAGGTAAGTCTAAAGGCTATAATAAGTATATTTGGAAGGTACCTTTGTTGTCAGTCATCAGACTGACCTGTCTCTGATATGTTTATATAATAGTATTCTTGTCTTCCCATTCGTATCTGGTACTCAGCAGAGAATAATGTTAGGGTAGGCAGTTCCTTTATGGGATGACTCAGTGTTAATCTTCTTGTATTGAGCATCTCTTTTTTTTGTAATTTTTATCTGTTAGTTCCAGGTCAGGCTTTCAAAAAACACAGAATGACTAGAACAATTAAAATATACTGAATCATTTTGGAAGCACTAGTACTCCTTGTTTCTGTGATAGAAGTATTTCATGGTGTCGTTTTTCAAAAGTAAAATTAGCAATTCAGTAATATTTTTAATATTTCTCCTATTACTGTCAAGACCTAAAAATAGAATTGGAATTCATGTACTATAAAAGTAACTTCAGATTTTTCTTTTTAGAATTCTACTTTACAAAGAAATTTTCTAAGTGTCATTAACATTTAGAAATTCGTAGGGAGGGAGAGCAGTAGGAAAGGAAACTGGTAAGAGAGCCATCTAGAAATGGCATTTTTTAGGGGGAGTTTTACTGTTTTAATACAAATTTGTCACATGTTGGGTTTGTAGTTGTATGTTTTTTGACCTTGGGACAGATACACAATTACTTTGGAACGCTTTGAGAAAATATTTCGTGAATGATAAAAACAGGCATTATAAGATTGGTAATTTTTATATGGTAGTAATCTAAAGATACCACCTGTCTCCTAGGTTTATTAGATATTTTCATTTGACAAACTTTGTTTTCCTTTTTGGATTATACCAAACAGAGTAGAAAATGTGTCAGTTATTTGGGATTTTGGAAGGGGATGAACACCAAACATCCAGATGTATATAGGTTCACTATGGATTCCTTCCTCTTTCAAAATTAATTGATTCACCCAAAAGGGAGCTTTTTGTACCATAAATTACTCGTTACCAGGGCTAAAGTTTTGGAATTTCCCATAATTGTGTAGATATTCCCTGTGTTTTGGGGCAATGATTTTTATTTATAAAAAGGTCAGCTTCATTTTATTAAAAACAGGGTAGGGAGAAGCACTATTAAAATTAAGTGAGAAGACTACATTGAATTTACATTGTACTGATTACAACTTTGTACAAGTTAATTCTGTGCCTTAAGTTTTCTCTTTAAGACAAAAATAATGAAAATATTACTTGCAGGATTTATTATAGGATTAAGTTTGTTGTGCAGATTGATGATATATAGTAAGATTCATTTATAACAGTACCTAGCCCATAGTACGTTGGTGAGTGTGTGCCAGATTTGCAAGTCCCTGTTACTTCTATTTTTTTAAGATTAAAGAAAAGATTTATTTATTTATGCTGGAGTGTAGGCCAGAGGTGTGGGGTGGGAGGGTGAGAGGATTCACCAGAGTGGGGAGCATAATAAACAGATTGCCTGAAACACACTGCTGAGGAGAACAGTAGGCCAGACAGGAGAGGTCTGTTCCATGTGGGTTAGCTCTCTGGCTGGGGATGGAACTTGTGCTATAGTGGCTACCAATAGCTTCATAGTGCTGAGACTTAATCCATTGCACCAGCCAGGGAAGCCCTCAAGTATAGTTTTTTTGAGTTAGAGTCCATTGAAAATTATTTCCCACAGCCTAAAGATGTACCCTTTTGGCACTTACTTAGTTACTTGGTGGATTTTTCTGAACATTTAAAGATTTGATAACACTATTTAAGAAGTATTATGGCAGTTACATTAACAGATAACACTAGTTAAATATTACAAGATAGTACATTATTAGACACTAAGTGTTAGGGAAGTGAAGCCTTTTCTTTTGAAACTTCTAATTTATGTGCAAATTTACATTTAAAAATAGGAAAAATTACTTTTCATTCTTACAGCTTTCGTATACTTTAAAATTGCTGTTTATGCTTAAGTTACTTAATATTATGTGCAGTCAAACACATTAAGCTACTCTTAAGTGTTAAAAGTCGTAAAATATGGGGAGAAAATTTACTTAAATTTTATTATTATTACTGTATGTATGATATACATATCTGAAAATGTAAATTTACCATTTGTAACCTGAAAATATATTTGTTATTTCTTTGCTCATATCTCTTTTCCCCATGACAGAAATTTTTAAAAACTGGTAAAAAACAGCTTTCAAGTATGCATTAACAGTTGTTAACTGTATACATTATTGTATGGAAAATGTCCATAGAATTTTTTCATCTTGTCTGACTGAATTGATACTTATTAAATAGCAGCTCTCATTATTCCTTCCAATCCTGGTAACAATCATTCTAGTTTCAGTTTCTAGGATTTGGATTATTTTCATTGACACATTAGGTTGAGTCATGCAACTTGTGTGTGTGTGATTGGTTTCTTTTACTTAGTCTAATGTGTGCAGGGTTCATCTGTGTGGTGGCATATGACAAAATTTCCTTTTTATAAGGCTGAATATTATACGTATATACTGCATTTAGCCATCAGTGCTCACACTTCTTGGTGATTGTGAATATGTAGCAGTGAGCAAGAGTGTACAAGTACATCTTGAAATCCTGCTTTCAGTTCTTTTGGATCTCTACCCAGAAGTGGGCTTGCTGGATCATTTGATAGTTATATTTTTAATCTCTTGAGGGAGTACCATACTGTTTGCTGTAGTGGCGTACCATTTTTCAGTTCACCAGCATTATGCAAGGGTTCTAATTTTCCCATGTATTTACCGATACTTGTTTTACTTTTGTAAACCTGACTGTAACAGTAGGTTTGAGGTGATAATTGTGTGGCTTTGATTTACCTTTTCCTGATGATTTGTTCTATTGAGCATCTTTTATATACTTGTTAGCTATTTTTGTATTTTGGGGAAAATGTCTCTTTAACCCATTAAAAATTTTTTTGTACCTTGTTATTGAATTGTAGTGGTTTTTTTATATAGTTTGGATATTAGTTCCTTATTTAGTTTGTGATTTATAATACTTTCTCTATTCCATAGGTTGTCTTTCACCCTATTATTTACTATACAGCAGTTTTTAAGTATGATGTCTCATTTACATACATATCCAAGAAATCACTGCCTAGTCTAAAGTCATAATTTTGTTCCCCCTTCTCTTTTCTTCTAGGAGTTTTATAGCTTCAATCATAATACTTAAATTTTAAGTCTATAAAACACTGAGTTAATTTTTGTATATTTTTTGTATCTTTTTAAAGTATGAGTGAAACACTTTACTTGAGAGTATCATTGCTTCTGTTTACCAAGTAGGCTTATTTGAAAAAGAGTAAGAAAAGAAAAAGTACATGAAAAGCAGCTATCTACTATTGTCCAAAAAGAATACTGCATATGATATTAATACATGGCAATGTAAGGGTAAACACTTTAGTAAGAAATGTGTATCAGAAATAAGAGGAACTCAAAGGAAATTGAATTCTAGTTAGGGAATTTCAGAAGGCTTCTATAAAGATGAATATGATTTAGGCAAATGGAGTAGAAAGGAGTAGAGATGATGCAGAAGATAAAAAGACTGAAGTAGAAACACATCACTTATATTCATAGTACTCCATTGTACATGTGGTGTCTGTGGGGGGGCATGATTGAGTGGAGGTAAGTCTTAGGAAACAGGTTGGGTAAGAAAAGAAGTAACTTGATAAGGAGTTTATAGTCTGAGGAGATTGTTAAGTTGAGGATGAAATAATACAAATTTAAAAATTATTTTGGTACGAGAGATGCATTAAGGTTAGGGAGAGTGGAAGTAGGAAAAACAGTGATGATGAAGCTTTTTAAAATTTATTCTAGGTAATTGAAAGCAGGGCAGAGAGTACTGAAAAGAAGGGGATCTTCAGGAAATGTAAAAAAGACAGAATTGATGCCACCCCTAAAAGGGAGGACCTAAAGAGAAGTACACTTGACTAAAGATATTCCATGCAGTGATTATGTGAATGGTGGTGTCCTTAAGTAGAATGGAAAAGAACACTGTTGTCCTGGTTTTGAATAGTGAGTCAGTCTGATGTGTTGCCAGTGGGATGTATGTGATGTCTTTGATTTTTTTTAGTATGGGTCTGACTCTCAGACAAGAGCAGAAATTTGAATAGTTGTAAGGTGAAAGTCAGACATGTTGGCTGAAGTCATGGGAGTACATGAGCTTAGCTAGGGAGATGAATTTAAATCTTAAGAAATCAAAGCCAGTCTTCTTAGAGAACCATTTACTGTGGTTTTTTCACCAAGCTTTTTCTTGTTTCAGAAATTCAAAGATAAACCAGATTTTTTTTCTTTTCTAATTGAATAGTGGTTTATAAAGAAAATGTCTTTATCCTCTATGTTCACATACTCTACAGTTTTGTCGCAGTACACTTAAGTTTAAACCACATTTCTATGTATATGTTATCTGTATTCTGTCTGTGTTTTGAGAAAAATATATTTTTTGGAAGAAAGATTTTGATATTTTGAAATTTACCAATAAATTAAAAATATTTGTACCACTTCCTTGCCTTTCCTCCTTCCCCACAGATACTTAGCTAATATATATTAAGCAATTGTAATAAAAATCAGAATGAAGTTTTAACTAACTGAATATACCAGCTTATTTCAGAGGGTAGAAAGAGAGGGATCCTGTGAGACTTTGATTTGTAGCTCTGTTGTTTATAGTTAAGCTGATTAAGTAGTTCTTTTTAATTTTTAAGATGTATTTATTCATACAAGAACTGGGGTACAGGTCAGAGGTATGGGGGATGAAAGGATTCACCAGAGACAGAGTGGGGAACAGAACAGGCAGATCTCCTGAAATGCTCTGCTGAGTGGTCGACAGAAGTCTGCTGTGTCATGTGGGTCAGTTCCCTGGTCAGGCATCAAACTCATGCCACAGTGACTGGCTATAATTTGATAGCATTGAGCCTTTATCTCCTGAGCCACCAGAAGACCCTCATGTATATTTTTCCTGTATATTTTTCAATAGATGTCTGGAGACTTTATTTGTTTTTAATGCTCACGATGGGGTTGTAGTGTCATCTTCTAGTTCACTGTTAGTACATCCTATGAAATAATTACATATCAGTTCTTAATTTTGAGCTTTTTCTTCTTAACAGGTTTTGCACTGATTGCAAAAATAAAGTCCTCCGAGCATACAATATCCTTATTGGTGAACTTGATTGCAGCAAAGAGAAGGGCTACTGTGCTGCACTTTATGAAGGCTTGCGGTGCTGTCCACATGAACGACATATACATGTTTGCTGTGAAACAGATTTTATTGCACATCTTTTGGGTCGTGCTGAGCCAGAGTTCGCAGGAGGGTATGAGTATGTAATTTGCTAGAATGGGTTATCTAGCGCTTTGCTTCATTTTATTCCTGAAACATTATTTCTGTCACCTTCTGCCTCAGTATATATGATATATTTAGCCATTAGAAATGTGCCTATAACATTTTTACTTTCTTTAAAATATATATTTCTTAATTGAACAAAAGCAGGTTTTCTGTGGTGTTTGGTTTAGTCCTCTGCTTGTTGCTTGAAGTAGGTGGCAGGCTTCTTTGGCTTTGATCATTGGAAACTATCATTTTCATTGGGAAATGATTAGAAGGTATTTTCCCCATCTTCATCCATGCATTTTCACTTTTAAATTTTGTTTGTAGTGATGATTTTTGCATTGGAAATGAGGTCTTGACAGTAGGAGGCTAAGAAATAGCTTTCATTGGATGTAATTCATGAACTGTGTATATATATATATATTTGTCCTTGAATAGGAACCTAAATTTTACTCAGACTTGGTAAAAATAAATTCAGAAAATGTCCTTCATGGAATAAATCAAACTCATTTTCCTTTGTTTTGTATACCAACTCTCACTTGAGTCCCTACTTTCTGCTAGGCCTTTAGGAGTATAAAGACATTTGTTACAAGTTTGGGAACATGTCTACTGAAGACTGGCCTAAAGGTGTTCTGCCTGTCAATGAATCACTTTGGCACTTTGGTATTGCCTTTCTGCATTTTCTCCAAAAAGGGGAATTCAAAACAAAACAAAACAAAAAACAGGCATTTGCTATAATTGAGAGGTGAAAAGAACTGTTATGCTGTTATATCTACTATGAGCTGGACACTTATATGTGCATCTGAAGTGAGCATAGGATCCTTGCATATAACTGCTATGTGCTAAGGAAATCATCTGATTTAGGGCCAGTTCCTGAATTACCTAATTTTTAGCAAAATTAAGACAAGTTCCACCTGCATGTGTATTTCTCATTGTTACATACATGTATTTGTGTATCTGTATATACAGAGTTTAAATGTGTAACATTCTCATTATTAGGTTTTTAATAAGTATGCAGGTTGTATTTAAAATATGAATTGGAAATGTGTTATCCATCTTTTACTGTTTCACTGAAGGGTATTAAGGAATTATATGTGATCTATTTTCCTTTATAGGCGAAGAGAAAGACATGCTAAGACAATAGATATAGCTCAAGAAGAAGTTTTGACCTGCTTGGGAATTCATCTTTATGAAAGACTACATCGAATCTGGCAAAAATTGCGAGCAGAGGAGCAGACGTGGCAGATGCTCTTCTACCTTGGTGTTGATGCTTTACGCAAGAGTTTTGAGGTAAGAACGTCGAGCTGCTTCATTGTCCGAGATTGCTTAGTCAAATTATTGGACTTAATTTTAATGTAGTGTCACCTTGGCCTGGTTGTGATCTGCTGATATTGTGAGCTTGGGAGAGGGGTTTCCTGGCAAGCTGTGAGTGGAAGTTTGTGGATTTTTCTTGGTTTTTTTACTCTTCTTTTTCTGCTAGTCTTGGTTTTTAGATTTTCTTAGAGTAGAAAATTGAAGTTGGTGACTATTTCACAAGATGTTGCTATGAAACATAACTAATGCAAAGTTAAAAGCAGCCCCCAAAAACAAACAAACAAAAGCAGCCCAAAAAGGAATAACAAAAGTAGAAATCTTTAGTGAGTCTTGGTTTGCCTGCTGTGTTCAATAACATGAAGTAAATGCTACTTGAGTGCCCTGATCTCAGAACTACTTTTTACAAGCACAGTGATTGATGACCACTCCTTTTGGTTTTAGAGCTTATGGTTTGGTAACTTTTTTCCCTTCTATTATACTCTGTAGAGCATGACTTTTTAGCTAGTAAATATTTTGTTACTTTCTAGGGGGTAGTTGTAGTCCCTTAACTAGATTAGCAGCTCCTTTTGAGAATGGTAGGGAAACTATAGTGCCTCTTTTTTAGAGGACCATCTATGAATTTCAAACATTCTTCTGGGGAGTTTTCAGGTTTGAACTAGTTCTTGCTGAACTAGTTTTTTTTTTTTTTTTTTAACATTTTATAAAGATAAGTATTAGGAAAAGGAGAAAAAGAAGCACCTGCACAGTCACAGGTGGATTGAGAAGCTGCCTTAACAGATACCTTATTCCTTTTGTTTGTATAGAAGTAATGTCTCTTTTTATAGAAGTAATGTCTCCAGAAACTTAGATCATCTAATCAGGTTTATGGTCTTCTCATTGTATGGAGAAAGAAATGAGTGTTTACTTTGCGTGTTAAAATTCTGATTTTTGAAACTGGAATATTAATGGTTTGGATTAGGGGTGTGTGTAAGTATACATTTATCATTGGGATTACATTTATCTACTTTTGTTATTCCTTTTTGGGCTGCTTTTGTTTGTTTTGGGGGGCTGCTTTTAACTTTGCATTAGTTATGTTACTTCAGTAGAGTCTAAGACTGTCATCATTTACAATATTAAAATTTGAAGTATTTTGTGAAGGTTATTGCAATGCCAGTTTTAGTGTGTGTGTGTGTGTGTATGGTGTTATAAATTCACAAACGTAGATTTCCATGCAAACTTAAGAAGTTTTGATCAGTATTTACTCTTTTACATTAGATGACTGTTGAAAAAGTACAGGGTATTAGCCGATTAGAACAACTTTGTGAAGAATTTTCAGAAGAGGAACGAGTAAGAGAACTCAAGCAAGAAAAGAAACGCCAAAAACGAAAGAATAGACGAAAAAATAAATGTGTATGTGATATTCCAACTCCCTTACAACCAGCAGATGAAAAAGAAGTAAGCCAAGAGAAGGTAGTATTACTTAATATTTAACTCAACTGTGTATTACACTGCTTTGGATAGAAGTATTGCTTTTTGTTATATTTGGCTCTTCCAGAAATGTGAGTTCCTACAGCTTGTATACTGTACTCTGTATATGTCAAAATACTTAATGTTGTGTTTGTTTTAGAAAGACAGTGTTGGCTTTTATCTTTTTTTTTTTTTTAAGATTTATTTA